GGGGGGGGGGGGGGGGCCTTTATCCAGAGTTCCTTAACTCGGGCACTCAGCTACACGCAGAATGGCATTTTACACATGCTGGACAGAAATAAGAGGATCAAGCCCCGGCCAGAAAGGTTCCAGAACTGCAAAGATCTGTTTGATCTGATCCTCACCTGTGAAGAGCGGGTGTACGACCAGGTGGTGGAAGGTAAGCGCAACAGCTGCAGCGCCAGGCCCTGTGCCGTGCCCTCTGTCCTGCTGTGCGTCCAGCGCCTCTGAGGCAGCCGGGCCGTCCTGTGCGTGGTGTCTTTTCCTGGCCCAGGGCTGGAGAAGGGTTCCCGGTGCGTCTGTGGGCTCCGGCAGGCGGGGGAAATGGGGCAAGGCCACAGAGAGGTGGACAGAGGGCCCCTGACCTGTGTGGGCCCTGGGAGGGGGTGGGGGCAGGAGATGGTGGCCTTGGGGCTGACCGTGTTCACCAGGGCAAAACCACCTGTGCCAGCCAACAGCACAGTGCAGGTTCAGGGCCTTTGTGGCACAGCAAGAGCACGTGTGGTGCAGAGGGACCGGGGCCTGGTGCTTTGTAAGTGAGGGTGCTGTCAGCTGCTGTCCCGCGGGACAGGCTGGAGTTGGCGGGTGTGACCAGGTGGCCTGGGGTCCAGCTTCATGAGCGCGAGCTTTCCTGCGGTCCCAGCCGTATTTGGCGTGAGGCTCCTCCTGGGGTTGGCGGGGTCGGGGGGGGGAGTGCTCGGCCTGGTCAGATGCTCTGATGTTGGTCCTTAACTGCATCCCCGAAGGAAGGCTGAGCAGCGCACAGCCTCCTGCGCTCTGTTCTGAGGCCTCTGACTTCCGTCCTCTTGTCACGGTCAGATCTGAATTCTAGGGAGCAGGAGACGTGCCAGCCTGTGCATGTGATCAACGTGGACATCCAGGACAACCACGAGGAGGCCACCCTGGGGGCGTTCCTCATCTGTGAGCTCTGCCAGTGCGTGAGTATCGGGCCCTGGGCGGGCCTGCGTCGTGCACACAAGGGCTTCAGCATGAACGTGACGAGCACACCACTCGGTTCACGGTCCGCTTATTGCCAAACGTTAAAACCCATAAATGTAGAGGTGCCCACAGGGGAGAGTCACCGAGTCAGCTCTGGCTAAAGAATCCACCTTTGAGCGTTTTAGGTTGATTGCAGGGGTGAGTGACCTGCCGGGGTCTGGCTTCTGTGGAGATGGCTCCCGGGACTTAGGCCCCCTGCCAAGACCCCAAACAGCTAGAGGAGCCCGGGAGCCCCCAGAGATGGCGTCAAAGGGCTCTGGTCCTCTTCTGCCCCCGCACTTCTCATTCCAGACGTCCAGCCCTCCCCAAGTGGCCCTGGGCATCTTCCCTTGTGCAGGAAACCCCAAGAGCTTTTGCAGCCACTGTGCAGCTGTGCTCAGAGCCAAACATTTCCTCTTAGATGTGACAAAAGGACCGACCCAACTCATATGTCTGGTCATATCTTTGGCCTGTGGCTTCTGCATTTAGGCCAACTAACTGTGAGTGATAGAAAAATGAAGAAAACGAGGCTTAACCAAGAAGTCTGGAGACAGGCAGGCCTGGACGGGTTTGCTGTGTGAGGGGCCCAGGCCCCTGCTCTCTTGTTACTTTGCCCAGCACAGCTTCTGTTCCCAAGGTGTCTCATGGTCCAGGGTGGCTGCTGAAGCTCCAGCAGTTGTTCCCATGGTCTGGCCATCATGCAAAAGACAGGGCTGAAGGGGCTGACACGTCCCAGAAATAGCACACGTGACAGCCACTTGGGTCGGGCTGGCGAGAGCTTGCAGAGGAGAGGCACTGCTCACAGGCCGAGACTGGGGGCAGCGAGGGGCCTCGGCCGCAGGCCAGCCCCTGCCAGGACAGGCGGGCTGAGGAGCTGGCCCCGGACCACCCTGGGGCTGTCCCCTGGCAGGGCCGCCTCCTTCCAGGGCGGTGGTTCTCCACCAGGGGACATCTAACTGCACACATGGTGGGCCTCACAGCCGGGAGAGACGCTAGTGGCAGCTGGCGGGTGGGGGCCACAGGCACTGCTTAACCCGCTACAGTGCACGGGACGGCCCCTGGGCTTCCTCGCTGGCTGACCGGGCCCGCGACAGTACTGTCTGGGTCGGGTCTGCTCATTTTCAGGGTGGGGGCAGTGCAGGCGGCGAGCATCTTCAGTGCGCGTATGTGTGGCATCTGAGGCCACCCGCCCAGCTGCAGCCGCTCCGTGTCCCGTCCCTGTCGGGCTCCCCTCGGCCCCGCCCCGCACACGCACGGGCGGCACCAGGCCGGGGCGGGGTGGGGCTGCCTATTGGGCGCGGGCGGCTCAGGGCGGCTCTCCTCTGGCTCCAGATCCAGCACACGGAGGACATGGAGAACGAGATTGACGAGCTGCTGCAGGAGTTTGAGGAGAAGAGCGGCAGGACCTTCCTGCACACCGTCTGCTTCTACTGATGGCCCCCGCCCGCCTGGAGCCACCTTGCTGAGCTTCCTTTTGTTAATACTTCTTCCTTCCTGATATTTGTTTTTACCTTTAGGTATTCTGCCGATGGACGGACGGTAGCAGTGCCCAAATAAACTGTACATATGAAATGAGAAGATATACATAAATGCCAGATTACAATCAAGTTCTTCCCATCCCACTTTCACTTACGAGTGGGACATTGATTATAGTTTTTTTTCTTTAACCAAAAAAGAAAAAAACGGTTGATAGCACATTTCCCCCCAGCCATCTGCCTCTCACTGAGCACCCCTTTCCCGTCTCCCCTAACTGGCTGCAATGTACAAATCCCTGAATAAAGCAACAGGCTGTACTTTTTGGGAAAGAACCTGCCATTGTCTCATCGGTAGATGTTGCTGGTCGTCCTGGCTTCATCCAGAGTACCCTGCCTGGCCTGGACCTCCCGTCAGGGTCCTCAGACGGCAGTCCGGGCCTGTGGGTCAAGCTGAGCTCTCTAGCACCACCCCGAGGGCCTCCCGTCCACTGGGACTCTGGAGGGATGTGGCACCTGCTCCCTGGGCGGGGACCGCTCTTGCCTGGTGACCCCTCCTGGTCTCCGTGGCACAAAGGTGTTCCGGGGACGACTCTGTGGGCAGTGCTGTCCCCCGGCCTGTGGATGGTGGGCTGGCTCAATGACCCCTCCCCAGCCCCCAGCAACATGGGGCAGCCACATCAGGGCTACGACGCGGGCCTCTGAGCTTCGTGGCCCACCCCTGAGGAGAGCCTGGGCTGACGCTGGCCCTGCCCCCGCAGTAGGGGATCCTTTAGCCTTTGTTGGGCCCCATCCTTGTGCCATGTGGCTATGGCTCCGGAGTGACCTCCCTGTCAGCGACCCTGCGGCCCCTCCACTAAAGGCAGCCTCTTGCCGAAGGAGGCTGGGTGCTGACCAGTCTGCCCGCAGCCCCTCACCCGGCGACCCCGGGCGGGCGGGGAGGAGGGGCCTCCAGCTGAGAAGTGGGGAGGAGGAGAGCGGAAGGAAGCCCGGGGCCTCTCCGGGATCGCCCCGGCGGGTCGGGACGGGACGCGGCCCGTGGTCCAGGGGCGCTGGGCAGGCAGCCAGGGGCCGGCACTGGCCAGATGGGGGCGAGCGGGCCCTGCGGCCCCCGGGGAGGGGTCCGGCCGGCGTCGCGGGGGCGAGCGGCCGCGGGCGGCGAGGTCCCTCCCGGGAGGCGGGCGCGGGGGAGGCCGCGGGGGGAGGGGGCCGGAGCCGCGCCGCGCGCAGAGCGGGAGGCAGAGCCGAGGGCGGAGCGGAGCGCGGCGGGCGCGGCGAGCGCGCGGGCCGGGCGGCCGAGGACCCCGGGAGCGCCGCGTCCCCTGCCCCGCGCCGGCCCCGCGCCTCCTCCCCGGCCGGCGACGGTGGGTGCGCGGCGGGCTGACCTCTGCAGAGGCGGCGGGGGCTCAGCATCGGGCCGGGGCCGGGGGGGCGCCGGGGCCGGGGGGCGGCGCTCCGGCCCGGCCCGGCCCCGCCCGATGTCCATGAGCGCCAACACCATGATCTTCATGATTCTGGGGGCGTCGATCGTGATGGTGAGCGGAGGGGCTTCCCGCGCGCCCGCTCCCCGCACCCGCTCCCGCCTCCGCGCCCGCGCGCCGCCTCCCCCTCCCGCGCCTTGTTTACCGGCCCGGGCGGCCTGCGCTCCCCCATCCCCAGCGCGTCGGCCCCCGCCGGGGGGCGCCGGCCCAGCCTCTCGCTCCTCGGCGCTGACCGGTCATGGGCTCTTCCAGGCCATCGCGTGCTTGATGGACATGAACGCGCTGCTGGACCGATTCCACAACTACATCCTCCCGCACCTGCGGGGCGAGGACCGCGTCTGCCACTGCAACTGTGGCCGGTGAGTCTGCGCCCAGAGGGGCACACGCGTGATCACACATGTGGGGGGGAGGTGGGGCCCACTGGGGCTCCAGCGAGCGCCGTGCAGGCCGGGCTGCAAGGCCCAGCTGGGCCAGGCCGGTGGGGGCTGCTGAGGCTGGCGCCAGGCCGGGTGGGGGAAGGACCGGCCAGCTTCCGTGGCACAGAGGTGTTCCGGGAGTGGGGAGCATGCCCGAGGCAGTAGGACCCCCTCCCAAATTGCCTTTAGAGAAAGGGCCCGCGGGTGATGGGCAGAACGGGTCCAGGGCCTCCTGGCCCGGGGTGTGGAGACCAGGAGAGCAGCAGCCCAGCCTGGTGTCCCGGGAGGGATCCTGCGCACGGCTATGCCCACAGAGGACACCATCCTCCTCCCTGGGCCCTGAGCTGTGTCCATGACATTTCCTGGGAGCCAGCTAGGGGGAAGAGCAGAAGGTCAAGGTGGGCAGGGCCTACCTTGAGGGGCATCTGACCCAACCCCCTCACTGTCCACGGGAGGAACTGAGGCCGGGGGTGGAGTCTGCTCAAGGTCACACAGAGAGAGGGGAGAGCCCAGGTCCCTACACCCACTTTGTGACCCCCCCCCCGCCATTCTGTGCACATGTAGTGATGGAGTCTTCCTGGCCATGCATGTTTGTATGTCCATGTACGAAATAAACATCTTCTCATGAGACGCGCATGTGTGTACCGTCTGTGCATATACATGTGCGCACACGCAGCAACCCCTCAGCCCCACGCACGCTGGGGCCCCGAGAGAGCGGACAGAGGCTGAGCAGACAGACTTGCCCAGGGCCATGCGGCCGGCAGGGAACTCGTGTTCTTGACCCTGCCCTGTGCTGCTGCTCCAGGGACGTGTGCACACGTACTGGGCGAGGGGTGTGTGAGAGACAGGACAGTTTCATGCCTCACTAAGCATGCTACATGCCTGTGTGTGCAGACCGGGTGTCGAAGCAGAACATGGGCAGCAGGGCAGATGGAGATGGGCGTGTAAACGGCCCTCACGAGTGTTGGCCAGGAATCATCCGGAGTGCTGGCTGGGTGGCCACACCCTCGCGGAGATCCGTGTGTTCCTGCCTGGTGCGCACGGCCCGAGGCCAAGGAGCGGCAGGAGGTCAGCTTCACGCTCCCTGGGCCGACCCAGCCTGGGGGTGTGAGCGGGGGTCCTGAGACCCTCCCGGAGACCGGAGGTGTGCCCGCCACCAGCCCAGGGTTCAGCTCCCTAAACATTAGTGAGGCCCATTTTCCGTGCAGGGCTGTTGCAGTGTGACCTGCACATATGTGCCTAAGACCTCACACTGAGGCCCTTCTGGGCAGACAGGGTGTGTTTTCAGAGTGTATTTGCTCCGGGTATGTGTATGGGTCATATGTAGTGTCCAGAGTACACGTGGATTGTGTAAAACAAGTGCCCATGGAGTGCAAGCCACAGCGAGGCCTGAGTGCACAGCTTAGACACAGACAACACGAGAGCCACGCCTGCTGTAGGCGTAGAGTGTTTCCGTGTGTGTATGTGTCCATGTATGTGTGCTTTGTACACATCACTACATACAGGACGTGTAAATTCCGTGTACAAAGTATTCTGGTATATTGACAACACGCATGTGTGTGCGCAGTACATGTGTGTAACACAATATACAGCACCCATGTGCGCCCTGTGGGCACAGTGAATGTCTGCAGGGTCCAGTCTGGCATATCAGGCCTCTGTGTACAAACCATGTACACATGTTGCCACATTGAACTCTACTTGTGTGTACACCCCGTTTGCAGAGAAGGCGCACACACACTTGTGTGCCTTCTACATGCCGATACGGAGAATTTTATACAGAGGACATGTGTGTAAATGCTGTGAAGCGTGCGTGCCAGCAGGCTGTGTCTGTGGGTGCACGCCCGTGCATATGCCACGGTGCCCACAGAGAGGATGGCTGTGCGCAAAGCCCAGCGCATGTGCATCTCCATGTGACACGCACCGTGCTCGTGCCCGGGCGAGCGTGCACATGCACACATGTGGAGCTCATGGGCCGAGTCCATGGTATACACGCCATGTCCTGTGCATGTGGCCGGCGTGTATACACAACATGCGTCCGACCTCAGGTAGACACATGCAACATGCGTGGCCCAGGCAGGACACATGTATGTACACATCACGGAAATACGTGTGCACGTGGGTGACCTGAGCCCCCACCTGCCCCCCCCCCGCACCCCGGGGCCTGCCTGACTTGGAGGAAGGAGGAGGGCAAGGAGCAGGGGAAGAGCGGCAGGTGCTAGGACAGCGATGGGGGCACAGGTCATGACCTTTGACCCCTGGAGGTCCCACCCCCACCCCCCACCCCCGGGGCGGTCGGGGCCCTGGCCTTGTCCTACTTGCAGGGGCGTTTCTGGCTTCCTCGGTGACTCCATCTTCAAGTTTCCTGCCCTGTCCAGGGGTAGGAAGTCGTGGTCCCGAGGAAGACCCTCCCTGCCGGGGTCCGGAAGGCAGGAGGGCAGGAGATGGCCGCGGCGCTCAGTGTTGTCAGTTGCTGGAGGCCTGGCCTGGCCAGGGTGACGAAGGGCGTCCTCTGCTGCTACGCATTCCGGGCGCTCATCAGTGGTTCTCCATCTCTTATTGGTGATTGATAAGGGCCATTGGCGAGCTGTGGCCACATGAGCTACGGCCGCCACCATATGTCAGGCAGTCCTCTCCAACTAACCCAGGTGTGGTGGCCCCTGCTCAAGGGGCCGTGGTGGCTGAGGCCCCACCTACTCTGGACAAGCTGAGCCGGATGGGCTCCAGGAGTCCCCAGGGGAGCGGGAGGGGGGTAACATGGGGCCTGCCCGCTGCTGTCTCCACGGGGTGGAAAGCACTGTGTGGCCCCCACTGGCACAGGGATGTCGGTGATGGACGGGCAACAGGGGCCTGGGGTCAGGGATGTCCTGGGGGGTTTCCGTTTGTGAGGAGGTCCCAGGGGGGCCGGGGAGGGTGGCTCATGTCCAGTTGCAAGGGGGGGATGGGGACCCATCTCAGCTGGAGACCAGGCAGAGGTGTCGACATGTAAGATGGGGAGAAGCAGGTTGGGGAGGGAGGAGCTATTTTTAGGTGCAAATTTGAGGTGTCTGTAGATCCCACGTGGAGACGCCAGGCAGGCAGCTGGAGCTCAGAGCAGACGTGGGGTGCCGCGGGGACGTGCTGGGGGTGGAGAGTTGGAGAAGCCAGCTGAGGGGCTCAGTAGGAGGGGAGCCAGGCAGGCGCACCCCAAGGTGGCTCCTGCACTTCGGGGAAGGAGGGGCCCCAGGGTGACTGGGGGCTCAGGGTGCACGGACCCCACACGCCTCGGGCACCCAGGGCCTGCAGCTGCTTCTCCCCGGCCCTCCTGTCGGTGGTGGGGGGGCATGGAGCCCGGAGTCTGTTGCTCTGGGTACTGGTCTCTGGGCAGGGCCACCCCACCCGGGATCGTGGGGCCCAAAGGGCTTCCTGGAGGAAGAGAGGATCCAGGCAGGCCTGAGGCTAGAGGGAGCCTTGTGGGGAGGGTTCAGTGTGACCTCCGCCTGGATTGTCAAGGGAGGGGAGGCTGAGGGGAACGGCCCAGGCCTCAGTGGGTGCTGGGATGCAGGGGACAGACCATGGTCCAGGGTCTGTCCCAGGAGCCGGAATCTGTGTGGGGCACGGTTAAGGGGGTGCCCCCGAGCCTCAAGCACAGAGAACTGGGGCAGGGGAGGTTCCTGCAAGGGACAGAGGGGCAAAAGGAAGACCAGAGGCCCAAGGCAGGGCTCATCCCACGCGGCTTTCCTTGGAGGGGAAGCTGAGGAAAGGGCGGAGTGACTGCAGGGTGGGAGGGAGGGAGAGGCCAGAGGGGCAGTGCCCCAGGAGCCAGTGGGGGCCTCTGGGCACAGGCCCACGGGCGGGCTGTGACCCTGTCACTGGGCGGGGGCACCCCGCCTGGGCCCTCGCCCCGGTACGCCTTCTCCACCTGCGCTGTGCTCCTGTCACCGTGTCAGGGTTGCCTCTGAGCCCCGGGATGGGCAGAGGAGGGAGGAGGGTGATGCGTGGAGGCCAGCCACTGGACTTCACGCTGACCTATGACCTCGCACACTCCCATCCTGCGGGCAGCCTCCCACCTGGTGACCTGGGTCCTGGGCGAGTGCGCCGGCCCCTCCCGACCTCAGCACCCCACAAGGTCTGCTTCAAAGACCCCTGCAGGCAAACGGGTGCAGCTTGCTGCGGGGTCCCCGCCCGCCCCGCGGGACAGGTGCCAGCCCGCCCTGCCGCCCCCAGGCACCACGTCCACTACGTGATCCCGTACGACGGGGACCAGTCTGTGGTGGACGCCTCCGAGAACTACTTCGTGACAGACAACGTCACCAAGCAGGAGATCGACCTCATGCTGGGGCTGCTGCTCGGCTTCTGCATCAGCTGGTTCCTGGTGTGGATGGACGGCGTCCTGCACTGCGCCGTGCGCGCCTGGAGGGCCGGCCGGCGCTACGGTGAGTGCGCGGCGCGGGGACCCGGAGACAGCCTCGTCCGCGCCGGGGCCACGCCCTCCCCCACGCCCACGCCATGCCCACTCCCGGCCCCGCCCACCAGCCCCCGCCCTGACCGCGCCCCCCGCCCCGCAGACGGCTCGTGGACCTGGCTGCCCAAGCTGTGCAGCCTGCGGGAGCTGGGCCGGCGGCCACACAGGCCGTTCGAGGAGGCGGCCGGGAACATGGTGCATGTGAAGCAGAAACTCTACCACAACGGTCACCCGAGCCCGCGGCACCTCTGAGCCGCGCGCAGGACTCGCGGGGCCGCCGGCCACCGCGCCCACGCTCACAGGACTGGACGGCCGGCCCGGGCCAGGGCGCCCGCGGCCGTCGGGCGCGTCCGGCGGAAGGTGCTGTCTCCTCTTCTTTTTATAAAGGGGGTCGGGGTGGGGCCGGGGCGGGGACGCGGGGACAGCGGCACCGGGGGCGCGGGTGGGACCGCCCGCCCAGCCCAGGACCACGTCCGCCGCTGGAAACCGGCGGCTTCCTGTGCGCCCGCGTCTGTCTCTCCGTCCGTCCGTCTGGTTTCCGGAGCCGGAGCCAGTTCTGCCGGAGGCGAGCACGGCCGGGAGCCGGGTGCGCCCACGTCTGCACACGGGAGTACGTGCATGAGGCGTGTGCGCCCGCGGCCCGCAGTGGGGGCGCGGGCAGGGGTCCGGGGGAGGCCCGGGCCCAGCAGTAAAGCTGCTGAGCCCCGCGGCGGCAGCCCGGCTCGGGCACCTCACTGTGACTCCCACCCGTGCTGGTCAGTAAATTCTCTAGAAAGCTCCAGCCTCTGCCTCTCCTTTTTGCCTCTGACCCAGGGATCCGCACATCAGCCATGAGACAGACACTGAGACGTATCTGTCAGTTTTTATTAGATTCTGGATAAAAAGACCCCCAATTCCAATCCAGGAGAGCTTCGCCTTCCGTGGGCTGGGCAGTCCCCCCGCTCCACACATCCTTGGCCATCGCGGGTCGCTGGGCTGGTTCTTGGCACCCGGCTTTATGGGTTCACAGACCTCAAGAGCACTGCCCTTCCGAGGACAGCTGGGCTGCACAGAGGCCAGCTCCGCTCATCATGGGCTAGGGTCTGGCCCTGGGAGGGGCTGGGCAAGGTCAGGTCCCCTCCCTTGGCCGGGCCCCTACTGCTGATCACCGCTGCAGCAGCCAGCACCTGCCAGGGAAGCTGAACTGCCAGCTTGGCCACGACCCCGGGCATGGCAGACAGTGCCTGCTCCCTGTCTGGGCCGGGCTTGGAGGGACATGTCTCCCAGGAGTGTCCTGGGGGCGGCTGCGGGGTCGGGAACCAACCCCACCTCGAGGCTGCACCGCGCAGCTGGTCCTGAGCCGAGGCCTTTAATGCTGCCCTGCCGCCCTGGGCCTGACCAGAGGAAGGTTACACACGCCGGGAGGGGGGCGGCTGTGTGGTGTCACCACGTCCGCTGGGAGCTGGGGCACCTGGTCAGCGTGCTGCAGGTGTCCAGGCCCGGCTCACTCGGCCTGTGAACTTGGGAGCAGGGGCTGGCTCCCCTCTGCCTTCAGCCACTGCATCTTCTGCTTGTGCTGCTGGATGGCATCCTGGACCCGGGCGTCCATCATGGCCTCGGTGAGGACCCCATCCTCAGAGGCATACGCCATGGCCTGGCAGGGGAAGAGAGCACTGAGGCAGGGCAGCACAGCAGCGGCCCGCGTGGGGGAAGGGCCTCAGCCTGAGGCTCCTCAGGGCCCACCAGTCACCACTCACCCGTGTAGGCCAGGCCTGGCCCAGGGACAAGGCAGCCTGGCCAGCCCCATCCTTGCTGCACTCGCCGCCCACCGTGGAGACGCCCCCCGGAACCCAACTCCTCTGGGGCAGGGGCAGGGGCAGGTGGGGCAAAGCGTGGGCTGCTCTCCCGGGCCTGCGCTCAGCTGCAGGAGGGGCCTGGCCGCTCAGCATGAGGCGCACGCCGACATGCGGCAGCACACACGTGCTCACAGGCGACCCTGCAGCCCAGAGCAGCTGCCATCCCTGCAAAACCCGGGGCCCTGCCCGCGCCCCCAGCTGGCGCCAGTGCTGGCTGTTCCACTGGCTTTCTCAGTGGCTTTCGAAGAAGAGAAACCCAGAGGCCCGCTGTCAGGGGGCAACCCAGCCCCCAACCGCAGACCGGAGGGCCTTGCCCCGTGGACAGCAGGGCTCAGGGCCAACGAGCAGCCAACAGAACCACCACAGGCCACGCAGACACCAGGAGAGGCAGAGCCCCCAGGGCCAAACTGCCCTCCACGCAGAGCGCCCGGGGCCCCACTGTCTGCAGACGGTCCTCCCAGAACCGCGGGCTGCCGCGGTCCAGGCTGCCGCGGTCCAGGCTGCCGGCGGCGCTCTGCACCCGCGATGCCCAGGCTCCCGGGCCGTGCACGTGGGCGGGGTAACCAAAGTTCGGCTCATCGGGCCCCACTGTGGTCCACAGCACTTCAGCTGCCAAGGCAGGTCTCCTCTGGCCAGGCTGCACGCCTCCTGGGTGACCCCGTGCCCCATCTGCTTCCTGTCACCCAGCCTGTGGCTCTGACATGTGCACTCAAGTGTCCACCGAGCAGGGAGCCCAAGCCAGTCCAGCTGTTTCTCTCTAGGTCCCTAGGAGCCTCAGTCCACGCAGGACACAGGGAGCAAGTTCCCACCATCCGAGATGACCAGTCACTTTGCTCCCCACACGGCTGTCCTCAGCGCCTGGCTGAAGCTGCAGAGGGAGGGGCCGTCCCTGAGGCCTCCCGCGAGGAGCCTGAGTTCTGCAAAGCAGCTGAGGAGGTGGGGTGGCAGCCAGAGGGGGTCCCTGATGGGGAGGGGCAGGTAGAGGGTGTGCAGCGACTTTACCACAGAGAAGCCAGGTGGGCACCATGGACACCAGGGGATCCAGGCCAACATCCCTGTGATGTCGTGTGGATGTCTGGTGCCCCCTGATATGATGTGACCAGAAGGGGCCCTCACCTCTGGTTTCCTCCAAAAACCCACAATCCCATTCCACTCATGAGAAAGCCATCAGACAGACCCAACGAGGGACGTCCTACAGGACTCCTCAAAACTGCCGGGATCGTCAGAAACAAGGGACGTCTGAGAACTGTCACAGCCCAGAGAAGCCCAAGACAGGAGGACTGAATGTCATGGGCATTTGGGTGGGTTCTGGGAGAGATCACGTCTGAGGTGGAATTGAGGGATGTGGTGAGACGGCCACAGTGTGGAGGGAGCTGTGCTAGCCTTGCGACTTTTCTGTGAACCTGGAATTATTCAAAAACAAAAAAAATTCACTGAAAATAGCTTAAAGGAGAGCTAACACCCATCCTTCTCAAACTCTTCCAAGCACTGGAGAGGAAAAAACACTTCCTACTCACTCTGAGGTCAGCATCACCCTGATACCAAAACCAGACAAAACACCACACAGAACCAGACCCTCTGCGAAAACTGATGCAAAACGCTCAACGAAATACTAACCACCAAACTCGGCAGCGTATTGAAAGGATTATACACCGCAACCACGTGGGCTTTTTTTCCCTGGAGTGCAAGGATGGTTCACCTAGGGAAAAATCAACCTAGGTAAGTAACTGAGAGAATGAAGGACAAAAAGCACTTGATTGTCTCAATTAATACAGGAAAACATTTGGCAAAATTCAACACCCTTTCTTGATGAAAACAATAAACGAGGGGGAATTCCCTGGCAGTCCAGGGGTTAGGACTCCACACTTTCACTGCCGAGGGCCCAGGCATGATCCCTGGTCAGGGAACTAAGATCCCGCAAGTCGTGCAGCACAGCCAAACAAACAATAAACTAGGAATACGAGGAAATTTCCTCATCCTGATAAAAGCCAGATAAGAAAACATCACCAAACGTCATCTCAGTGGTGAGAGACTGAAAGCTTTTCCTCTGAGATCAGGATCAAGGCAAGGATGCCCGTTTTCATCACTTCTAGTCAATAGAGCACTAGAGATTGTAGACAGATCAATCAGGCAGAAAAAAGAAATAAAAGACATCCAGACTGGAAAGGAAGAAGTAAAATTAACTGTCTGCAGGTGATATGATCTTATTATATATAGTAAATCCTAAGTAATAACTTCAGCAAAGTTGCTAGACACAAAATTAATGCACAAGACAATTTGTGTCTCTACACAGTAACACTGAATAATTGAAAAAGCAATCAACAAAATAAGTAAGGTAATTCCTAAGTATTTTATTCAAAACAATTCTATTTACAACACTATTGAAAAGAATAAAATACTTAGGAATTACCTTACCTAAGAAGGTGAAAGCCTTGTACACTGAAAACTAGAAAATGTTGCTAGAATTAAGGACATGAAAACACAGAAAAATATCTGCGTTCATGCATTGGAAGACAACGTTGTTATACTATCCAATGCAATCTACAGATTCAATGCAATCCCTATCAAAATTTCAATGATGTTTTTTGCAGAAATTAACACACAAAAAATCCACCCCAAAATTCATATGCAATCTCACGGGGCCCCAAGCAGCCAAAACAATCTTCAATAAGAATATGTTGGAAGTCTCACATATCCCGATTTTAAAATCTACTACAAAGCTACAGTAATCAAGACAGTGTGGTACTGGCACTAAGACAGACACAGGCCAGTGGAATAGAACAAAGAGCCCAGAAATAAACCCTCACATATGGTCAAGTGACCTCCAACAAGGATGCTGAGGTCACTGAATGGAAACAACAGTCTTTTCAACAAATGGCGCTGGGAAAACTGGATATTCATATACAGAAGAACAAAGTTGTACCCTATATACAAAAATCAACTCTAAATGGATCAGAGATCTAAACATAAGACCTCAAACTATAAATCTCATAGATAAAAACAGACGGGAGAAGCTTCCAGACATTGTATTTAGCAATGACTTGTTGGCTATGACAGTAAAAGCAGGTGACAAAAGAAAAAAATAAATATTGGACTTCATCAAAATTAAAAACTTTTGTGCTTCAAAGGACACTATCAACAGAGTAAAAAAGGCAACCCGCAGAAAAGAGGAAAATGTTTGCAAACTACTATCTGAGACAAGGTTAATATCCAGAATACATAAAGAACCCCTACAATTCAACAAGAAAACCTCAAACAACCCAGTTAAAAAAAGGTCAAAGGACTCGAACAGACCTTTCTCAAAGGAAGACACACACATGGCCAACAGGCTCATGACAAGATGCTCAGCATCACTGATCATCAGGGAGCGCGAATCAACAGCACAGTGAGACACCACCTCACACCCATGGCCGCCATCAAAAAACAGAAACCAGGGCTTCCCTGGTGGCGCAGTGGTTGGCAGTCCGCCTGCCGAGGCAAGGGACACGGGTTCGTGTCCCGGTCCGGGAAGATCCCACATGCCACAGAGCGGCCGGGCCCGTGCGCCATGGCCGCTGAGCCTGCGCGTCCGGAGCCTGTGCTCCACAACGGGAGAGGCCACAAAACAGAGAGGCCCGCGTGCCCCAAAAAAAAAAAAAAAAAAAAAAAATTAAAATAATGAGTTTTATGTTTAAAAAAACAACAACAGTAGGTCCCCATGATAGGTAGCTGCAGTAAGAAGCACGGACCTGCACTGACAAAACCATCGCACGGGGGTGGCAGCTGCAGCAGGGTCCATGCGACACCAGCAGGTGGGCTTCGGGGAGCAGGTGCACAGGTCCCCGGCTGCTCAGCCTGGAGGCAGGAGGGTGGGCAGAAGCCACCACAGCAGCCCAGCCCCGTGCACCTGGGGCCACAGGGGAGAAACTCCAAGGGGACACACTGACATGTCCTGTCCCAGACGGTGGGACCCCCAAGGCATTTTGGCCCTCTCTCACAGAGGGTGGGGGTGGGGACTAGCAGACGTGCCCAGGGCCCGGCTGCCCAGGGGCTGGACACACAGGGAGCGCACCCACGGGCTCTGGGCCTCCACGCGGACGCTCACCCTCACATGCGCGTGCGGGGGCCACTATCCTCAGCTCCCCACACGCAGGCACACGCAGGCACACGCAGCACACGCAGGCCTGCCCCCTGGTTCCCCAACGAGCAGGGAGGGCAGGGCAGGGCGGGGGAGGGGAGATGCGCCAGGGCGCTCCCCACCACTGGGACTGGACGCCACTGGGACTGAGCCTTTGTCGCCCCCCAGTTCACGCTGAAGCCCTAACCCCCAGTGTGGCTGCACATGGAGATGGGGCTTCTAAGGAAGCTATTCAGGTTGGGTGAGGTCCTAAGGGTGGGGCCTGATCCTACAGGACTGGCGTCCTTGTACGAAGATACCCCCAAGGGCTCTGCACAAGCACACAGCAAGAAAGCGGCTGGAAGGCAGCCAGGAAGCGGACCCGCATTGGAACCCCCCTCACTGGCATCCTGATTTGGGACCTCCAGCCTCCAGAACCATGAGATGAATGTCTGTTCAAGCGCCTGGCTGTGGCATCTTGTCATGGCCGCCCAGGCTAAGACACCCTGTTCGCCACTCTGTTGGTCGTGGAAACAGCCAACCTCGTGAGGCCTGGTTCCTGAGTGAGGCCAGCCTGGAGCAGGGCACCCTGTGACTCTCATGAGGACAGAGTTTGCAATCTGGGGCTGTCTGTTACAGCAGCATGACCTAGTTCATTCTGACTAATACAGCCCCCCTGTGTATCTAGGCAAGGATGTTCAAATCCAAGCAGATGTCTACTTAGCATTCGTGCTAAGTTAACAGTGGCCAGGTTGTCACGTGGCCACAGACATGAGCCACTCAGCACCCTCCACCTGACAAGGACCATGGGGAAACTTGTTCTGAATGGCTGCACCCAAGGCTCCTGGGAGTCAATGGGCTTCCCTGCCCTGGGCACCCGTGGAACCACAGCTGGGATGTTTCAGATGAAAGCCTGGGTATTGGGAATGACAAGGGCCACTCTGACCTGCGTGCCCTGAGCCACAAGGTGAAGATGGAATCACCTCCCGTGGTCCAGCTGTCCTCAGGCCCTCAGGACTCAGCAAACCCATCCAAAAAGCCAGAACGCCTGAGGCCTTCACGCCCCCACAGACAGTCCCGAAGGCAGCAGTCTGCCTCTAGGGGCTGGGAAGGCAACGCCTGACTCCTTATCAGGTCAGTCACCTCCTGGCTCCTCACGTCCTGCGCCCTCGGATGAGCCCACCGACAGCTCACGATGCTCCATCCCTGGCCCAGGCAGTGTCCCCCGGACCCTCCACCCGTCTGCAGTTTGCTGTGCCAACTGTCCTGGGCCCCAGCTTGGGACAAAGTCCAGGTTCCTAAGACCCTGAGCTTGACGACCACCGGACACGCTGCTGATTTGAGAGGGCCACGCCTGACCTGGGCCAGAATGACACTGGGAAGGACCATAACGCGCGAAGCCATGGACGGCCCTGGCCCATCCTCCCTGCTGCGGGGGGCAGAGGGTGGTGGCGTGAAGGGAGGGCATCATGTCACGTCTGTGCAGAAAATCACTCAGAAACACCCTGGTGGGGGGGAGGTGCAGGTGCCAGCCCAGTCACCTTTCGACAACTCTGAGGGTCCCTGGCTTGGTCGGGCTCTGGCCTGCGGGGTGCATCCCCAGCTCACCTGCCACGCCACAGCAAGCTGGGAGATCTCCCGGCCCGACATGCCCTCCGTCAGCTGTGCAATCTCTGAGCACTTCTTCCCGTAGTCAAACTGGGCCAGCTTCAAGCGCCTGGTAAAGAGTTCCCAAGTGATGCCTGGGCGCCCACAGGACCCGGGCCAGAGCAGAGGCCCGTGAGGGACCCAGGCTCCCACACAGACGGAGAGCAGGAGCCTGTGCTGGGAAACCCCAGGCGGGACACATCCGACCCCCTCACTTTAATGAGCTACCCCCTGCCCAACGTCCACTGCTGGGGCCAGGTCTGGCCGTTCCACCTTCCTATCCTGCTGGGCATATGTCCCTTCCTCGTGGAGCCCAAGACGGGGCCCGGGTGGGGCACATGCTGCGCTCAGGGGCAGCCGTGGGGCCGCTCAGGATGTGGGAGAACGGAGGAGCTCCGGGGGCCTGTTCCCAGCTCCACCGCCTGCCTGGGGGCAGGGACCCCGCCCAGCACTCAGACAGCGGCCGAGCTCCTAATCCCGCCCCCGCAGGCGGATGCCAGGCCCAGTGAGGCCTGGCTGAAGGCCCAAGAGAGCCCGCTCAGACTCCTGTGAAAAAGTCCTCAGAACCTCAGGCTGCAGCTGGGCTAGGATGCGCCATCGGGAGCTGGAGTAGGGTGTGGAGGTGGGGGACTGGGGCCAGCCAGGGGCAAAAGGAAAAAGAGACCCAGATAAGAGAGCTTGGGGGCAGCTGACAGACGGGTGGCAGGGGCAGGCAAAGCCCGCCGCAGAACAGAAGACAGCTCAGCAGCGCCAGGCGGGAACCAGGTCGGTGGGGCTGAGATCTGGTCCCCGGAGAGGGTTACAAATAGACCAGCGCTGGCTTATCTGGAACGCTCCCGACAACAGTGAGAGAGGGCCTGGACGAGCAGGGAGGGCACCCCCGGCCTGGTGTGTCCCACTGTGTGCTGGGGAGGGGCCCCAGAGGGAGGCTCAGCAAGGCCAGAAATGGGCCGGCACAGCCCGCCACTGCCAGGGCCTGACTGTGGCCTGGATCTGAGCATTTCAAAGGCAGGACGGGGTAGCAAGGCCTCCAGTGATGGGCGATCATGACCCCACACGTGAAACCCAGGGGCAGGGGCACGGGCGGGGAGCGGCCGTGGTGGCGGGGACACTTACTGCTTTCCTTCTGTGGCTGGTTTAAGAACATACTTGTCAAAATACAGTCTCACCAGGCGCTCCCGCGCCTCTCGCCGCGGCAGGTCAAAGCCGACCATCTCGCCGATGCGGTCGTTGATGGCCCAGTCAAGCTGCTCGGGCTGGTTGGTGGCCAGGACCAGCATGAACCTGCAGCCAGCACACGGCGAGAGCTCAGGGCTCGGGGCCAGCAGAACCCGCCACGCGGCGTCCTCACACGTGAGACCCCGCCGCACCGGCGCTGCCCTCTGCCTCCCATCGCTCCCTGTCTTGCCCCAGCTCATGCCTCTCCCCGACTGGTGGCCCAGCCATGGAAGCCTCCCTGTGTGCAGGAGGGATGGGGACCCAGGGACCCAGGTCTGAGACAGACCCCTGCCCCTCCCACACCAAGTGCTGGGGTCTTGAAGCCTGGGGCTCAGCTAAGCAGACGTGCCAACTCAGCAGGAACTCGACACACCCCTGGGGGTCTCAGTGGGGGTAGGGTCTCCACCGGCAGCAGCTACAGCGGGCAAGGCTAGTGAGTCTGGCGTGGTAGCCACGTTGGCTGACCGGCAGGGCTAGATGCCACCAGCGGGCAGGGGGCTGGAGGGGCCTCACCCACCTGGAGGAGCGGGATTAGGGGGCCCAGAAGGGCCAGCCCAATCCTAGGGCAACCTGCGACCTGGGGCGCCTGGCTGTGGGGTGAGCCCCTGACAATGCATCTCATGGGCAGCCGGAAATGCCCAGGGCCTGAGCCAAGGGCAGTAGCCTGTGGACGAGCCTGTGCTCCTCGGCTCTTCCTCAGAGACCCCAGCACATTGTCTCCGCAGCTCCACAGACGCCCCACGGCACCCAACGGGCCGTCCCACTGCGTCCGGCCACGTGGGTCAGGCGTGAGCCTGCTCGGTCGGCTGCCCCGCAGCAGCCGCGTGAGCTGAGGCAGTGCCACGGCCCCCGCACACGGGCTCTCCTCACTTGCTGCTGTGCTGGCCTGTCCGGTGCAGGAATGCGTTCAGGGTGGCCCTGAGGTCCTCACTGATCTTCTCCTGCAGAGACAAAAGTCCGACGTCAGGTCCGCACGCCGGAGTGCTATAAGCAGCCACGGGGGCGCTAAGGAAAGGCTCCGCAGAAAGGCGCAGCCCCCGCTCATCCATGACAGAATGAATCTAAGTTCGAAGGCTGAAGCTTGACTCCGAAGGCACTGAACTTCCACTTTTCAAACAAAATGGATGAAGAAAGCGCAGCTGAGGAGCAGGTTCCCGGTGACCTTCCCAGGAAGTGCAGATGCCGCGGCCCAGGCCGCCTGCCCTGCCAGCTCCCCGCCCGCCCTGCCCGCTCCCCAGGTCAGAGGGCAGCATCCAGACACTCACAGTCGCTCGCTTCCTGAGAAAGGCATCTGCTTCGTCCACGAAGAGCAGGAGGCTGCAAGGGCAGGGCCACGTGAGGCAGGCAGGGCATGGCCCCGCAGGAACCCCAAACTTTGCACTGCCCCCACCAGGACCCAGACCTTGGCTGCAGACGGGGGCGTGTCAAGTGCCAGTGTCACGAGAAAGTAACTAAAAATAGGCTGGTGACCCCTTGTCTTAAACATTTTAAAGTCTCCGGGACTGGGCCTCCCTGGTGGTGCAGTAGTTAAGAATCTGCCTGCCAATGCACGGGACATGGGTTCAGGCCCTGGTCCGGGAAGATCCCACATACCGCGGAGCAACTAAGCCCGTGCACCACAACTACTGAGCCTGCGCTCTAGAGTCCATGAGCCACAACTACTGAGCCCACGTGCCACAACTACTGAAGCCCACGCACCTAGAGCCTGTGCTCTGCAACAAGAGAAGCCACCACAATGAGAAGCCCGCACACCGCAATGAAGAGTAGCCCCCGCTCACTGCAACTAGAGAAAGCCCGCGCGTTAGCAACCCTAACCCTAACCCTAACCCAAACCCAATGCAACCAAAAATAAATAAATAAATAAGTAAGATTTAAAGAAAAAGGAAAAAAGGAAAAAAGAAAAGAATCCGCCTGCCAATGCAGGGGACACGGGTTCGAGCCCTGGTCCGGGAAGATCCCACATGCCGAGGAGCAACTAAGCCCGTGAGCAACAACTACTGAGCCTGCACCCTACAGCCCACGAGCCACAACTACTGAGGCCGTGCACCACAACTACTGAGCCTGCATGCCACAACTACTGAAGCCCACGCGCCTAGAGCCCGTGCTCCGCAACAAGAGAAGCCACCACAATGAGAAGCCTACACACCACAACGAAGAGTAGCCCCCGCTCGCCGCAACTAGAGAAAGCCCACGTGCAGCAACGAAGACCTAACGCAGCCAAAAATAAAATAAAACAAAGCCTCTGGGACCAAGAGGCTCCCGGACCTTGGGGACAGGCTGTGGGGAAAGTCACCAACCCCCCTTCCCAGCAGGAGCCCCAGGGCCACGCAGGAGGCACCCAGCTCACCCTCGCCGGCTGGTGTTGGCCCAGTCAAAGACCTTGTGCATGGCGGTCACGCCGTCCCGCCCCATGGGGGCCACATCCCCACCCGTCATGATGGCGTAGTCCATGCCTGAGTGCAGCGCGAGTTTCTGGGTGGGAAAGGCACTTTAATGCCTGCTCCGTCTGCCCTCCAGCCCACCGCCCCGGTCGCTGGGGACCAGACCGCGTGTGGGGAGACGCCCTTCCTGGAAGAGCTGGGCAGGGGCTGCCTCCCATGTGTCCCCCGCCCACGGCACCTCTCCCCAATAGGTGAGACTCCACAACCCCCAGCTACTGTGCCCTCACCTTGGCAAACAGTGTCTTGCCCGTCCCAGGTGGCCCATACATCAGGATGTTCCGGTACACACTCCTGTTCTTCCTGGTGTTCCTCGTGGCAATGGCGATGTCCCGCACGCGAGCCTCCAGGCTGGGCTGCCAGGGGACATGAGGTTTGGGGACGCTCTGCCGCTGAGTCCATCCCTCCTGAGTGCCTGGGTCAGTGCGAGAGGCCGCCTCTCCCTGGCTGGGGCTCAGCCAGCAAACCGGACTCCAGGAAGGTCGAGCAGCCCCGCCCGGGCGGGAAGGTCCCAGGGATAGGCAGCCCCACTTACGCTGAGGACGACGCCCTCCAATGCGTCCTGAGGCTTACTGAGGAGCCGCCTGCTGACCTGCGGGGCGCGGGGGGTATCAGGGTCAACGGCGGTGCCCATGGTGCAGCCACCCCAGAACACGCATTACCAGCTGTCCTGGAGAAGGCCGGCAGGGGAGACTGTCGGCGACACTGACCTCTAGCGACGGCCCACAGCACTGCCCGTAGGTGCACAGCACCCATGCCAGGCAGGAAGCCTGGCTCCCCTCAAGGAAGGCAGCCGACACAGGGCTGCTTCCAGCGACTTATCTTACGGGTAGATAGCTTGCTGGAGCCCCAGAAGTTTGTATACAACCTCCAGTCCACCCAGGGGGATGGTCACGCCCACAGACCCACAGAGGGACGGAGCGGACTGGCGTGAGGGTCCCCCCAGTGCTGACGCCACAGGGCCAGAGGAATAGCGTCAGAAAGAGAAAGCCAAATGCAAATCTGTGAGCAGGGGAACAGGGCAGTATTGGGTAAAAAGGGGAAAAGGGCCCACGTGTGCGACTCGGCTGTAAGGCCACCCGGACCCAGGGGGCCCGCGGTCACCTGCACAGGGTGCCGCAGCAGCTCCAGCACCGTGATTCGCGAGGTCTCCCGCACCAGGGACGGCTTCCCCAGCCGGGTCTCCACGTAGCGCCCTATGGCCGACGTGGCGTTCTTGGCGGAATAGATGCCAACAGCCAGCAGCGTCAGCCCAGCCACCTGGAACAGGGCAGAGGCAGGTGGTGCCCACCCCATCCCCGGCAGAAAAGAGGGGCTCCCCCATCAGCTCCCTGAGTCTCAGCCGGGCCCCACCAGTACCTTTCCAAAGGGCAGACACTGGTGTGGGGATGAAACGGACGCCTGGCACCCCTCCCACACCCTCCTCCCAGCCCCACCAGGGCCAACACTGAGCTGTTCCGAGCGCCCCAAACCCAAAGGCTGCGTCACTTGTGGCTTTCCAGTGGCAGTGGGGGGCGTGGGGGCAGCGACCGCCTCAGCCGTAGGTCTATGAACGCTCAGAGCGCCAGGCGCCTCTCACGGCCACCAGAGACCCCGACACGTGACACAGACCGCAAGGAAAACGGCAGCGTTGTTTACCGTGGCTGTCACTTTGTCCCAGTCTGTCACAAAGGCCTGGAATCCTTCACCAAACACGGTGCCAGCCACCCTGCAGGGGAAGCAGTGGCATGACTGGGAAGGAATTGTGCTGTGCCCGTGCGCCTAGCCCAGGCTCCAAGGTCAGCCCCAAAGGTCACCGCAGAAGGACCGGCCAGGGGAGTAGTGGGGTGCCTGCTCAGGGGAAGGGGCGAGAGGATGCCCGCTGGGCACGGCCTTACCTGATGGACTCCAGGATGGTCTGGCGCTGCTCAGCAGCCTTCAGGCGGATCTGCTCACGGGTGATGTCAGCATTGTCGCGCTCAGCCTTGGCCCGGGCACGCGCCTCGGCCTCCACCCGCAGCATCTCGTTCTTGTGCCGAAGCTCCATCTCCCGCTCCACAGTGGCTGCCCAGGGAGAGCGGGGAGCAGCGCTCAGCCCGAGGCCCATGGCCCCCCGACCCAGGATGAAGCGCAAGCACAGGGTCCCCCCCAGGTCCCCCCCCACCCCCCTCTCCCAAGGGTCTCAGCGTGCCCGCTGCTTCACGCTGCTTGGGAAGCACAGGGCCTGAAGCAAGGCCCGTGGCCCTTGGCCCGTGAGCTTCCAGGCCAGGGCCCTACCTCGCCGCAGGGCCTCCTGCTTCTGCACGGACTCCTCCTGCTTCCGTAAGTTCTCCTCGTTGAGAAGTTGCTGAAAAGGAGCCACAACGGAAAGGGAAGGGCTTCGAGATTAGGAAACGGTCAACATCACACCAACAGGTTAGCTGCTCTGGCCTCAGAGATGTCCCCATCGCCCCGGGGGCTCCGACCCCAGGGGACGATCACCTTAAGGCCTGCAGGCTGCATGGCCCGAGGCAGGAGCCACGGCCGCCAGCCTAGCTCGGCCTCAGGGCAGCCCTGACCCACAGCTGTCCTCACAAAACAGGCTTTTTGCTGGACTGTTTAATTTAAAAACTAAAGTGCCCACAATAGGCTCGACGTTTGAATGCCCCCCACAGACCCGTCAGTCAGGGTCCCACCCGGGAGACCCTCGGGGCGGCGCGGGCAGATCCCCACCCCTCCAACGCAGTGGTTACTGCCAGGTGGACCCCAGACTCTAGCCCCTACCCGCCCCAAGGGATGCCCACGCCCTCAGGGAAGACAGGCGGCCGGGCAGAGTTCACCTGCTGCTTCAGCTGGTCCTCGTAGCGCTGCCGGGACAGCTTGTCCTGGTACTGGGCCCTCTAGGGAGGGAAAGGGCGGTGTGCACACGGCCCAGGCACAGAAGCCACGGTCCAGGGTGGGACTCAGCGGGTGCGGGACCCAAGGAGCGCCCCGCATGCCCCACCCCCGCCGCCTTACGGCCTGGTGCTGCCGTGTCTCCTCACTCAGAGTCTTCCTCCGCTCCTCGGCCTGCACCCGGACCTGCTCGCCCTTCAGCTGCTCCACGGCGGCCTCATACTCCTGCGCGACACACCAGCCGCCCTGAGCCCAGGGCCCGGCCAGGCCTCCTGCCCCGACGCCCCTCCCCTGCGTGGGCTCCAAAGGAGCCGGACAGCCTGTGCAGCCCCTGGGCAGGGATGCAGCCTGGTCTGCACCCCACAGGCCTGTGGGTGCTCAGCTGTAGCCTCACCTAGGCCCGGGAGGACCCAGACCCACAGGCAGAGAGAAGCCAGGAAAACGGACAGGGCCAGGCCCCAAAGCAGCCAGACGGTCTCCTGGGGTGCCTGTCACTCCCCCAGCCCCCTACACCGTTTCCGCTGCGCTTATGCCACGTGCTTGCTTTCTGATTCACTTTACAACAGCCCGTGGTGGAGGGTAGAGCCTGTGCTTTTCCTACGCTCGCTCACTACGTGCTCAGAGTGACGGCAGGAGTCCCCCCTCGGGGAGACCAGACTCCTCACCCACATCTGCCCTTCCAGATAGTTCTGTACAAAACTCAGGCCACACACGTCTTTGATCCCCGCTTCCCTCAAATCCTAGAGGGAGGTGCTGCACCCACCGCCCATGTTCTGTCTGTCCGGGGGCCCCTCAGCCTCGGGGCTGCAGCCCACCTCTGCCAGCACCACACCTACACTCACCTTGAGCTTGGCCTGATGTTCCAGCTGAAGCGTCTGCTCCTGCATCTGTGCCAGACTCAGCGCCTCCTTGGCGTGTCCTGCAGCGGGGGCAGGTGTGTGAGCATCAGGACACCGGGTGAGTGTTCACGAGTGCCAGGGGCTGCTCAGGGACACCACAGCGCACCTCGACCTGAGCACACGCGTGGCCACCCTGGTCGGACCTGCTCAGCCACCCATCCCTCCAAGGGCCACCTGTGTATGCTCCATCCCCAGCGGAAAGCGTGTGTGCAAGGTCTGCCCCCCGGGGACTGTCACACTCCAAAGGGTTCCATCAGAGAGGCTGTCCCCCGCCCGCCTGTTGACAGCAGGAGGGTCAACATGGTGGTCGTTTCCCCATTAAACAAAAAGCAAGCCTGTGGCTAGAACGTCCTTTATTTTTCCAGTGCGAGCATTTTTCCTGAGCCTCTGATACCTGTTACTGATTCACAGACAGGCGAGCACAGGCAGGCAAGAACGTAAGGGGCAAACGAGGATTAAACCAGGAAGAAGGGACTTCCCTGGTGGTGCAGGGGCTAAGACTCTGTGCTCCCAGTGCAGGGGTCTAGGTCCCTGGTCAGGGAACCAGATCCTACATGTCACAACTACGAGTTCGCATGCTGCAACTGAGACCTGGTGCAGCCAAATAAATAAATATTAAAAAAAAAACCCAAAACCCAGAAAGAAGCTGATACACACAGGCTGACACCTCTTCACAGGCCACATGTTAGAAACACGTGTGTGTGTGTGACTGACAACTTCCAGGTGTATTCTCTTCATCAGGGGAATTCGCATGTGGAAATATGTGGGTATCCGGTGCTCTCCTTGCTAACAAAGCCTGCACGTCGGGCCTCTCTAATAGCTCCGTGATGACAGAGTTCTCCTGTGCGACACCCTTCACTACAAAAACTTTCTAACACATAAAGGCACGGAGAGAAGGTTGGGACCCCATGAGCCCACCTCCCTGATGCTACCACGCTCCCAGGTTGCTGCCCACACATCCACCCTTCTACTCCCCCCACCACAATCTGTCTTATTTTTTGAGGCCTTCAAGGTAAGCTGCAGACCCCAGGACCCCAAGCTGCAGCACCTGCATCACTGACTACAGCGTAACCCCTGGGGCTCACTGGCTCCAAGCACGTGTTAGGCATGTGGTGGAAGCTCTAGGGCTGAGGTAGGCTGGGGCTCGTGGTTTGGCTTCAGAGTTTGGGGAGGACCTGCAGCTGGCCTGCTTACTCACGCCGTGACCTTTGACAGGTAGGCTGACTGCTCCGAGCACCTTGCCTGCCAATGGAGCAGGGCACTCCCTCCCCCGACCCGTGGAGTGAGGTGGAGAAAGCACGTAAATCGCTCAGCACAGGCACCCGTGAGCCCCCCTAATCACAAGCTACGACCTCAGTGCTGACAATGATGACTGTCACCTCGAAGTCGTCCTACATCGAGAGATGTGCGAGCCGCCACGTTAACTGCACCCACCTCAGGCAGGCACCCTGTACGTGCGTGGAGCACACAGCTCAAGGCCAATGTGCTGCTCTGGCGTCCAAGGAGGGCCTGGGAAACCTGGGGAACTGGGTAGCGTCAGACTGGGCCCCGAAGGACACAGACGGTGGTCAGGCTGTAAGAAGCAGCTGGGGACGTCTCTGGTTTGCGTGGAGAGGGCAGTAAGGTGAACAAGAGCAGGTACAGGCCAACCAGGGCAGGCACTCTGGCTGTGAACTGGGAGCATCTCCAGACAACAGGCCTGCAGAGGGGCTAAGGACAGAAGGGGCTCGCACCCTGGGAAGGAGGGTTTGGGGACAGAAGGGGCGGCAGCCCAGGGTGAAACCTCCCCCATCGGCCAGCAGAAAAGCCAGAAAGGATGGCAGGAACAAAAATGAAGTAGAGTCCACACTTGAGACAGTATCACCGGATGTGGAGGCCAGTGGGGTGGACCATGCTTCTAGGTGGTGGTAGCTGGGGACTCTGCAGGAGATGCTGCTTGGTGGGGAAATGGGGGAGCAGAGGCCAAGGCTCTGGGAACCCAGACGGAGAATGTCCTGGGGCAAGAGCTCTGGGGCAGCCAGTGCAGGAGACCTGGGAGCAATTCACAGGCAGGAGCAGACAGGAAGACACACCCAAGGCTATTCACACCGGCCTGTACAACTGTGTGGGTTTCAGAGGCCAAGAGTCGGCCTTCACATTTCAAAAGGAGGCAAACTTTGAAGTTCTGGGCACAGTGAATGGGCCAACCCCCGCAACAAACCTAAGAAATTAGGTCTCGTGTCAGAAGTCTGTCGTCATCTGAGGTTTCTTGAAGCCCAACCGTTGTCTCTCAAGCTCCTCTGCAAGCCTCTCTTCAATTATCAAATGATAACTAAAATTATCCTGCAAACCTAATACATCTAATATACTTAATACCCACTCTGAAGAGGGGAGTGTTCCAGCTAGGCCTAAGGAAACAGGCTGTTCTGTTTTGACTGTCCCTCCCAGGATCTGAGAACCAGAAAGGCTGGAGACCTTTGCCCAGGATGTTCTCGTGGCCCCAGCGGGAAGGCGGGGACTGAGCCGCAAAGTGCCAGGCCACCCCCTCCTCAGACAGAAAGACTGTGCTCACCTCTGCTCACAACAAGACTGCTCCATAAAGTCTTCTTTGAGAATAGAGAACCTCTGCTTAAAAGTTTAAAAGCTACTGTATTCTTCCAGTTATTACCTATTCAGCATGTGCTATATTCCAGACCCTTAATCTTGATCTTGACACAAACTGTTAAAGCCACAAGAAAAAAGAAGGTTGTGAAAAAACCCATGGGCTTAGTGAAGGTACACTCACCGCTGATGCCTTGAGGGCCTCGGTCAGGAAGGTCATCAACTGGCCCAGGGCTGCTTGATCTGTTGCTTTATAGACCTCGCCTACCTGAACGTTAACCTTTTCCAATGATAAATGCAAATCTTTATTTCCCTTAAGACCAACGCCCCTCAAACACGTTTCCCTTCTTAGGCGGAAAACTGCCAAGCAACCACCACGGACGGATCCCCTACCTGGCCACCCTTGGCCGTTCCACGTGGAGACGGCAAGAGGCGGTAACTGGAGACCAGGGTGCAGCCCTGCCAGCTGCTGCCTGTACCCTCTGAGTCCCCTCGGCACCGGTTTCCCCACTTGAAGGACGCGTGGCAACTGGGAAGATGCCAGAGGATCAGGGGATCCCGAACCTCCCTGCACGCAGGGTGGCTCCGGCTGGCTTACCGCTAGAGACCGGTTTCCCCCCGACGGCCACTCGCCGCTCAATCCCTCAGACCACTAAGGGCCACCGTGCCCCCGAGCCCGCCGCCCGGCCGCCCTCCCCGCGCCCAACCCACGCACTCACGCGAGTGCTCCAGCTCGCGTGCCGCCTTCGCCGCGCGCTCCAGGCCCGTCGGGTCGAAGTTGCTCCATTTGTCCTTGGGCGCAGGCCGGTCCCCCGCGCCGCGGTCCCCGCCGCCCTCGGCCCCGGGCTGCACGGGCGGCAGCGGAAGCGGCGGCCCCGCGCCTTCGCCCTTGGGGCCCTTGATGCCGAAGAGCCACGACATGGCTCACGAGCTCCACGCGCCGCCGCCGGAACCCGTAGCCGTGCGGACGCGCGCGACGCAGAGCACGGTCCACGCGCCACGAGCCGGCGGCAGAGACTGCGCAGGCGCGGCGGCGGCCCTTCCTCCAGGGCGACGGATGCGCGTGAGGTCCATGTCCCCCCGAGCGGCCCTCGGATTGGCTGCGAGGACCGTGACGTCACGGCATCGCTGCAGCGATTGCAGGAGCTGGCTCGGCGGGGGGGGCGGGTAGGCCGTCAGGGGGCGGGGCGAGGTGCCAGGTGACCGGGGTTGGTCAGGGACGAAATTGAGGGTCTGGGCGCGTGCGCGCCTTTGGGGTCGTCATTTCCGCGTGGCAACGACACTGGCCCCGTTGCTATGGGCGCCCACAGAGTTCCGGCCCCCGGGGCCACAGAGAGGCCAGTGCTGGAGCCGAGGCCACTTGATGCGCGGCGTCCCGACCGAGGGAGAGGCCTACGAGAGGAAGAGTGTGGGAGGCGGCCGATAGGCGGGGGAGGACCCCGCCCGGGGCGGTCGCGGGGTCGGGGGTCCGGGGACCGGGCCCAAGAGCAGGCGCCGGCGCCGCGGGCTGAGCGGCCCCCTCGGACAGCGGAGCACGGGCTGGCCGTGTCCAGCGCAGGGCAAACCGCCCTACGGGCCGGGCGTGTCCGGCGCGGGGCAAGCCGGCCCGGTGCTTAGTGGGTCTCGGTGCTAGCGCATCCAGTCAGTGCTACGGAGATGTTGGAAGAGCGGAAGCGCGGCCCCGGCCAATCTCCCGCAACCGTCAGTAGAATGAAGGGCTCTCCCGAGCCTCCTCTTCGGCGTCACAACAAAACTCAGCGGTCCGTGGTTGTAGGTAAAGTGGCTCCCAAGGGAGGGGACAGAGCTCTGCAACCCCAGAAGTATGGGACGGCAGAGCCCCCGAGGCCCCACAGAGGTCGCCGTCGCGGAAGGAGAGCTCCTCAAGGCCCAGGAGTCCTGGCTCTGGTCTCTGCCTGGTGAGGTTTCTCCTTGGGAACCCCCAGAGGCCACGTGCCTGCTTCAGGGACCAAGGTGCAGGCTGGACTGCCTGGGGCAGAGGGAGACAAGGATGGACAGAGGCCAGCGTTGCTCTAGAACCCAGTGTCCAAAGTTAGCAGAGTTTGCTTCTTGGGTCAATATCCAAGTTGCCCCTGCGTTCTTTCCCTGATGGAATTTGTTGAGTTCCCAGTATTATACGGAGTTTCTCCACTAGATTGAACACAGCCTTAATCTTAAGCCTGAAGAAAAATAGGAAAAAAAAAATTCTAAGATAATTCTGTCTGGGGTTTGTTGTTTGTTTCGTTTCCCCAAATCAAGAGAAAAACCAAAGATGTCCCTCATTGGCCATCATCAAGGTCTCTACAGACCAGCCACAAACCATACAACCAATAGAACTCCGGGCTGGCTTTGCTGGATAAAGAAGAAATGGGTAAGAGAAGTGAGGTCCTGGGTCACAGGCAACTCTCTAGCTCCATCCACAGGCCAGCATTTGGAAAGCTTGTGTACTTTTGTATGACAAGGAATAATTGAAAATAAAGCTCTGCGTTTAAAAAGTCAGTTTCAGGGACTTGCCTGATGGTCCAGCAGTTAAGACTCCATGCTCCCAATGCAGGGGGCCTGGGTTGGATCCTTGGTCGGGGAACTAAGATCCTACATACCCCAACTACTGAGGCTGCATGCCGCAACACAGAGCCCGCATGCTGCAACGAAGACCCAGCGCAGCCACAATAAATTAAAAAATAACAAAAAATTAAAAAGTAATAATAATAAAAGTTATTTAAAAATAAAGATCCCGCATGCTGCAACTAAAGATTCCGCACGCTGCAACTAAAACAAACAAAAGATCCCACACGCTGCAACTAAGACCCAGGGCAGTCAAATAAATAAATATAAAGTCAGTTTCACAAAAAAGTCAGTTTCATTTAACTTGGCTTAAAAAACAGAAATCTTAAGATTTAGGTGCTTGCACCGCCTCCCCTTTGATGGAGGGGTTCCTTCCGGGTTCCCTCGTCACAGCGGTGCTGCTCACACTTTCCGGTTTCCAATGGGCCCACAGAATGTCCGGTCCACTTGTGTTTGTCACTTAAAGTCTTAGGTGGAAGCCACTAGGCAGGACAGACACCGCTTTCCTAAAGACACTAAGTTAATAAAAGGGAATTAGGATGATGCTTTCTACCTGACGTGTTCATGTTTTGTTCTTTTTTTTTTTTTTTTTTTTTTTTGCGGTACGCGAGCCTCTCACTGTTGTGGCCTCTCCCGTTTCAGAGCACAGGCTCCGGACGCGCAGGCTCAGCGGCCATGGCTCACGGGCCCAGCTGCTCCGTGGCATGTGGGATCTTCCTGGACCGGGGCACGAACCCGCGTCCCCTGCATCGGCAGGCGGACTCTCAACCACTGCGCCACCAGGGAAGCCCCGTGTTCATGTTTAATTGACAAACGTGGGGTTCTCAGCCACCCATGCTGCGCTGTTTTGCTGACAGGATTCCCCCAACATCCCCCCTCCCCACAGGACGTTTTTTTTTCCTCTGAAGGAGTCCTCCAGCTTTGAAGACCTGGAGGAGAGACTGCAGAAGTTAAAGGTGCAGGTGGACAGCTTGGCCTCCAGCCTGACCTTGAGCCCAGGGTGAGGGGACACAGCTGCCCCCGAGAGCCCAGGCCAGCAGGAGCAGAGTGGGCCCCACCCAGGCCCAGTGCAGAGGACTCTGCCCCCAGAGCCTGGGCAGCAGGTGTGGTTTCTGAGTCCCCTGCATCTGGCCAGACCCTTGGGGAGCTGGGGCCTTCCATCAGGCCCCAGGACTTCCCAGCACTGAGGCTGCAGCGCCAGCTGCCCAACCTGCCCAGTGTCTCCCAGGGACAGAAGCCTTTCCACTTGAATCTGGAGCCCCCCAGCATCACTCTTCGGTCTTGCTCTCCTAGGACAGTTGGGCCTTCAGGGGCTGATCTCTCTCCCTCACCCAGCTGGGGCCCTTCCGCTCCCATTCTCTCTTCAGGCTCCAAAAGGACCTGCTGGTTCCAGTTTCTGGAGCCCCAGCTCATGCGCCCCAGTCCAGCTGAAAGAAAAGCTGCTGGCTCGGCCTGGTCCCCCTGGGCCCGAGCCCCCAGGGCAGGGCCTCCGGCTGCTGGTCCCCACCCTACCGAAGCCCTCTCCTAGGGCCCCTGCAGCCCCTCCCCTTCTGGCTCCAGGGTGAAGAGGCTAGAGGGGAGGGAGCACGGAGCCCTCAGGGCCTCATTTTCCCCTCATTGTGTTTGCTCTTGGCGAGCAGGCAGCTCTCTCCTCCCCCCTGGAGCTGCACCGCACCTCCCCACCAGCTGGACCGACAGGCCCACCCAGCAGAAGGCCAGCACAGCCAGGCCATCCCCAGAGGCACGCGAGGTGGGGGGACCCTCAGCACAGGCGCTCAGCTGCCTGGACACCACGCTAAGGACAGGAGACATGCCGTGAGCGTTGGCCTGCCCCTTGAAGGGCTGAGCTGGGACCTCTGCCTTCCCAGGAGAAGAGCAGGGTCAGCTGCATAGTCTGGACAGACCTTGGAAGCAAGTCGCTCAAGCCCTGTGGCACTGATGGAGCCCCAGGGTCGTCTGGGAGGGGCTGGAAGTGGCGCCTTTGGGACCGGCCTCCAGTACCCTCACGTCCAGTAGGGGCTGGCCCTGGCGAAGAAGCGGGACTGGGAGCTGGCCAGGGCCCCAGGCCCACAGCAAGTTGAGAAACTCGTGGCTCTCACCCCCTGCCCTAGGAAGTGCTGTGCACCCCACGTGCGGCACCAGAGCCGGGTGGTCATGGCCTCCGCTCCCGTGGACAGTGTGGTCAGGGGCTCAGGCAAGCCGCTGGCCACCCACTGCTCTCCCTGTGCTTGTGCACACACCTGGTGGGCACGGGGGTCTGTCCTTCCTGCGAGGCTTTAGTGTCTGTGGCTAGGACGATATGATTGTCATGGGTGCATTCAGACACTTCTGAAACATAAGCAATGAGTGGCAAGAGTTTTAACTCCTGGTGAGAACATGTCAGTGAACAGGGTTCCCGCCCGCCCCACCCTGCCCCTGCCTGGGAGACCTCAGCCCTCTCCCTTCCCAAGAAGGGCTCCGGCCTGGGAGCCCCCTGCCGGTGGCCGGCAGCCAGAAGCACACCCTGCCCTCTCCACCTCCCACCCAAGGACTGGGACCTGCGGGGGAGGGTCTCCCGGGGGGGCCCCTCCTCACCACACTCACCTCTAGGGGGAGCTATGACTTCCACTGGCATTTTTGTTTTAATGGACGTTGGAAGAAAATTTTTCATCCCAGAAGAAAAGCACAGACACACAACTGTCAGCCTCAAGCTTCCTGAGCTGCCCCCTCACCACAGCAGGAGGCTGTGAGGACACACGTCTCACACAGCAGCCCGACACCATTTCTTTCTGTCGCCATGGTAACAGCTCGTGCTCCAGGGAGCTACCAGTGGCTGCACCACCCACTTCTGGACACCCACCTCCAGAGGCCTGATCCAGAACCCAGCAGCCATCTGGCCTTCTCACAGACAGCCTTTGTCCATTACCTGGCCCTTGCGGCTTCCTGCCATCCGGCAAGCCCTGGGCTGCAGGGAAGAGCCCACACGGGATGAGTGTGACATGCAGCCTTGGGGAAATCCTTAGCTTCTCCTCGTCAAGTTAGGAAGCAGCAGCAACCTTCGTGAGTGTGAGAACTGTGCCCGCCCAGCATCACCAGAGGAGCCTCCCTTTGGGGTCCCCTAGAAGCAGCAGGATCCTCCCCTGCCTGGCCCACTCCTGCTGCATGGACCTGGGCTGCCATGTGGATCATAAACTCTTGCACGGCCCTTTCTGACTTTCATGTGCTCCCAGAAGCTCGTAGTTGCCTTAGGAAGTGGCACGTGTAAGTCCCTGCAGGCCTCAGCCTGGGTCCCAGACCCAGAGTGGACCACGGGGCCAGGGCCTGCGAGTCAGGGGATGTAGAGGGGAGGGGTGGAGACCGGGACAAAGCTGTTTCCTGGAGACTCTTTCCAGACGTGGCCCAGACTCCAAGACCTTTAAGAACTGCCTGGGATGATGCAAGGGCGGCACTTCCGAGACAAGGGCTTCCAGGAGGGGCGTTTCTTGGCCTGGAGGTAGAAGTGGGGCTCCTCTCTCTGGGCCTCAGCGTCCAGCAGAGATGAGGCGAGGCTGGAGCCTCTTCCAGGGGGTGGGGGCGTGCGTCTTCCAGCTGCTCTGCCCTCTCTCGGGGTTGGAGGCATGTTTGGGGGGCAGGGGCTCACAGCTCAACTTGTCTTTAGTGTGTGACTGAGCCACTAAGAAACGCCCCGCCAGCACCTCCTGCTTTTTCTCCTGCCGCCTGCACGGTGCGCTGCAACCTGGGCTCAGGGGTGCAGCGTCAAAGGGGTGCCTCTCTGGGTGCCCAGTGGGCTGTGACCCGCGAGCACCCAGGGGATTGGAGTGGGGGATGCAGGCCTCCACAGGGGGAATTCTGCCCATCAGGGATGGATCAGGCCCAGGTCCCAGCAATGCCCTCAGAAACGGGGCCTGCGCTCTCTGAAGAGGAGATGCACAGGGCGGCCGCAGGGGGCACAGTGGCCTGAGTCCCAGCACTGGGAGGGGGAGGCTCCCCCCTCCTCTTCTCCAGCACCAGCCGGGGTACCATCCGTCCTCCACCCAAGACGTTTTTTTTAACTTGCAACCTTTTATGCGGCTGGCGTGTTTTGACAAGGAATACACTCTCAGGAGACTGCAGGACTAAGTTTACATCTGATTTACTGTATTTTAAAGTCTGGGGTGTTAGTGGGGAAGAGGCAAAGTGAGCACTGAGTCAGTGCAGGCGGAGGAGGAGGTGCGGGGTGGGGCTGAGGGAGCGCAGCACTGCCTGCCCTTGGGACTTGCCTGTTGGCCCCAGGATAAGAGCAGTGACAGGAGGTGGGGTCAGAAGGCCCTGCAGAGAATGGCTGGGGTGCAGCACCCAGGGGAACCTTGCTTGTCCCTGCCCCTGCCTGGAGGTCCTCCAGCCAGAAGCAGGGAAAGCTCCCTGCAAGTGCCAGCCGTGGGGCCCCGCAAGAACAAGCTCGCCTGTCTCCAGGGTCCCAAACGCCAAGCTCCTGTCCCATTCCTCCCAAAAGGGGCCATCTGCGTCCCAGTGGCTGTGGCTGGGCCCAGTGGGGTCCTGGGTAGGCAGGAAGGGCCACTGTTCCCAGCAAGCACTTCCCCCAAGCCGGCTGAGCATGCCGGTGAAGACTGTCCCTCCAGCCACCCAGCTGCTGACCACACGATCAACTCCCAGCACTTCCCCTCCCCATTCCCAGACCCTGCGCCCTCCAGGAAGCCTCTGAGGACCTGGCCAGAGCCACCTCCTTCCTTTCCCATCCAGGACCTGAGTGGCTGGAGGGGACTCGGAGCTGCCACAGAGACCAAGCTCCTTCAAACAAATGCTAGCCTTTGCCACCAGAGGGTGTGGCCCTTAATACAAGTGTGAGGTCCGGCCGCCCCGGCGCCCTGTGGTCCTGGGCCCAGAGCCATCTCGGGCCTCACGTTCTCAACGGGATCCTGACTCCCTGTCCATCTCCCCGCTAAATCCTGCCCAAGCTCTAGACCGGGCAGGGGAGGGAGTCGCGAGGGCACGCGCCGCTGCCAGAGCTGCCGCGGAGGGTCAGGCGAGGCCGCGTCCTGGAGGGCCGACGCCGGAGCAGGGCGCCCTCTTGCGCGGGGGTCCCGCGGGCCAAAGGCCGGCCAGCATCCCACCCATGGGGCAAGACCCACCGAGCTCGGGAGAAGGGCGCCCTCGGGTGCGCGGGCGCGGCCTGCTCACGGCTCCCGGCCCCCAGCGCCCGGCGACTGGGGGCGCGGGGCGCGGCTGCGCTCGCCGTCGGGCGTGCAGGCCTTGGCCGACAGCGCCCTCTCGCGGCCGGAGCGGAAGGCCGCCGTCACGGTCACCAGGTAGGCGGTGCCCGGCGCCAGGCCCTGCAGCGTGGTGCTGTTCCGGCCCGCGGGCACCTCCACGAGCTGCGCCGCGCCGCCCCGCAGGGGCCCGACCTGCACGTGGTAGCCGAGCGCGGCGGCCGGGCCCAGCGCCGGGGCCCAGCTCACGCGCAGGCTGCGCGGCCTGGCGTGCGAGATGACGATGCGCTCTGGCCCGGTCTCCTCTGCGGGGGAAGTGCCTGTGAGCTGGGAGGGGGCCGCGCCGCCCGGCCCCGCGCCCTGCCCGGCCGCGCCGGCACCCCCAGCCCGCCCGGCCCCGCGTCCCGCCTCACCCGGCAGAGTGCGCACCCGCAGGTGCTGTGGCCTCAGGAGCCGCACGTTGGACTCCGGCACCAGCGCCACGTCGTAGTCCGTGTCAGGGTCCAGGCCGGCCCAGGCCCAGCCCGTGGCGTTCCCTGGCAGCTGCTGGCGGCGCGCCGTTCCCGGCTCGGCGCTGGGCGCCAGCTCCAACAGGTAGTAGCCCGAGTCGGCGGTCAGTAGGGGCGGCCAGGCCAGACGGAAGCCGCTGGACGTAACCTCGGAGGCACGGAGCTGATGCGGCCACATAGCGTCTGCGGGGTGACAGGGCAGAGAACAGAGATGCCTCCTCGCACCGAACCCTGGGGCACTGACTGTTGACTCCCGGAAGACACCCAGAGGCGGGGAGCAGGGCGCGGGGCGCCAGGCCAGCCCCGGCCACGCCCACCAGATGCTAAGGATCCGCAGAAGGACATAAGTGCAGCCAGCCCCCTACTTTGCCCCGTCAGGAGCTTCCCTCCTGGCCTCAGCTCCAAGCTCAAACCAGTGCGGAGGTATAGCAGCCACCTCCCACCCAGTCCAGTGGCCTGGACAAGGGCCCCTCAAAGGTGGCAGGATCCAAACTGATGTCATGATGTCAGAGAACAAAGGACCAGCCCCCCATCCAGCCTGAATGGCCAGCACAGAGTCCGGGGTCAGCTCAGCTCTGAACAGTCAAGGAAAAGGGGGCCCACGGTACAGCCAAGAGACGGGGAGCCACTGGAGAATGCCCCGAGGGGCAGGAGAGATGTGACAACCCCAGGAGCAGCTGGACCTGGAGTTTCGGGTGCTGCCGGCGTCCAGTCCCCAGGAGAGTGTGTTGGGAGCACTCCAGGGTGGGACCCCCAAACGTGTGTTACTCCTGGGCTTTGATGCCGAGCACCACAGGGCCGTCTGAGTGACAGTGCAGCGGGGGGTGAAGCTGATAAATGTCTGGACAGGGTTAAGCCCTTCGGGACCCCATGCTGCCTTTAATGCTGGGCATGCAGCTGCCCGGCTGGCACGTCCTCGCCCATCCCCCACACTCAGACCCTGCCCCCGCTCCCGGGAGGCCCCGCCCTACTGCCTCACTGCCCTGCAGCCTTGGGTTTTTCCTGTCCAGCTGCTTGCCCTTTCTCCTGCTGTCGCATCCAGGCTCAGCCACAGTGGTTGACCCAGGGGCCACCAGGGCCAGGTGTCCTGGAGTAAATCTTCGGAAGGACACTCTACCTCCCTCCAACCCACGGTTCAACCCCTTCCGGTTTCAGGTGGACGATTAACCACAGGTGGAGACTTGGGAGGACCCTGGGGTCGTTGGCATTTTTCAGTGGCTACAGCCAACCTTGCCAGTGGCCAGGCCCTTCAACACCAGCTCCCTCTCCCGCCAGGTTTAGCTGGGTCAGGGCGTTCCACAAGAAACTCGGAGGGGAGCTGCTAGCCCCCGCAGCAGGCCCTCCAAGGCCCGGCCTCCTCTCCAGCAATCCCCACAACCGCCTGCAGTGCAGTCCCACTCCAACCCCTCCGCGGCTGCCCTTGTCCCTAGCTCTTGGGGGGCAGTCTCGGCCCTTCCTGACCTGGCCCTCCCCCTCCCTCCAGGCTTGGTGGGCCCCTCTGCAGAGTCTCCAGGCTTGGAACCTCCTACGCTTCCTCTCCAGGTAGACACATTCCACCAGATGCAGCGCCTGAGTCCCTCAGCCCACACCAAGTCCCCCACTCTCCAGCAGAGAGCCCCACCTGGAGGTGTTTACTCAAGCCTGCCCCTCTGTCCCGCCTCAGCCCAGGTTGGGGGGCACCTGGGGTGAACGGCTGGAGTGTGTCCCTGGAGAAGCCGCGTGTGCACCCCTGTCCCTGCAGCCCTGGCCTCTGCTCCAGGCATGTGAGGTCCTCCTGGAGGCTCACCTGGCCCTCTTCCTGAGTTCCCCGCTGGGGCTCCCCGGGCTCCGCCTCCTCCCACCTACCGAGAATGGAGCCCCTCAGCGCCTGGGTGATGATGTGCAGGTCATCCACATCCACAAAGTGCAGATGCTTCTCAGCGGGGGCCGAGGCGGCAGCCGACAGCTCCAGGAGGTTGCCGCGGCCAGTGCTGACGACGAAGACGGTGACGCCCAGGTCCTTCAGCTCCTGCATGGGGGGCCCCACGGGGTCGCTGGAGCCGCCGTCTGTCACCCACACCAGCACCTTGGGCACCCCCGGCCGGGCCCCCGCCGCCTTGGCAAACAGCTGCTCCTTGGCATATGCCAGCGCCAGGCCAGTGTTGGTGTCACCCATGCGCTGGGCTGCAGCGTGTATGGCGTCCTGGATGGCCGAGCCTGAGCTGTGCTGGCCGAAGGGGAACTCGGTGTGCGGCCGACTGCCCACGTGCACCAGGCTGGCACGCAGGGCCCCAGGGCCCAGGGGCAGCAGGGCCGCCAGCCGCCCCAAAAACTCCCGAACTCGGGAAAACTCATAATGAGACACGCTGGCCGAGCTGTCCAACAGAAACAGCAGGTCCCCCTGGGGGGCAGATGCCGGGGGGCCTGGGGGAGAGGGAAGGGTTCAGCCCCAGGTGGTGGCCCCCAGACAGCCCCACACCCAGGTCAGAACCCCCAGGGCCTGAGCTTTCCCTAAGCTGGTATTTGCCCTTACCCAAGAAAGCCCTGAAAGCCTGCTCAGTCACACCCCAAAGGTCCCGGGGTGGCACCCCAGAGGGGAGAGGGGTCCTAAGCCAAGAGGAGGTCCACACTCTCAGCAGTTCCAACTCTGCATCCTGGCCACATGCCTGGGGCACCCCCTGGGCTCATGTCTCGTCTGCAAAGGAGAGCTGACCCCTCCAAGCCCCCACACCCTCCCTGTCTTCAGCAGACTCTGTGCGCAGGCTGGACCCGGCCCAGCCCCCAGGAGTGGTGGGTGGATGGGTCTGGGCCACCAGGGCTTAGCTTTCAAGAAGCAGCCTACACCGCTCAGCCTCCAGGTAAAGCAACCGGTGGGGCGTGCGGTGGGGGCACAAAGGCAGCTGGGGAGACTGGGGACAGAGGTGGAGGCATGGGGGGAACAGAGCGCTGACTGCAGCCCCTCCCACAGCCCGGGGTCCCGGTTGGAGTCCTGACCCCACTTACAGATGATGTCACCCCTCCCCTGGCCCCCATCCTCTGCTCCACCTGGACCCAGGAAGCAGGTTACCTGCTGCAGCAGCCCGAGGGCCCTATATGTCCCTCCGGGGCCTCCCCCTTCCTCCCGGCACCCCGGGGGGCAGATGGGGCCCTTCGCCACTGTGTCATGAGCAGACAGCGGCCTGGGGTGTCTCGGTTCTGGTCCCGGTCTTGCGGCCTCAGTTTCCCCCAACCCAGTGGGGCGACGCCAACCCTCTCACCATCCCTCTATTAACGATCACTCCAAGGAAAGGGAAACTGAGGCAGGGACAAGCCTCCCCGACAGGCCCCTCCCCCTCCCCGTCCAGGCCCCAAGATCCCGCGGAGTTGCCGGCGGGGCCCGCGCCGCAGGTGGGTGTGGTCCCCTGCCAGCCGCCCCCGCCCTACAGCCGCGGAAAGAGAGCGTGGCTCGGTGCGGACATGGTGGGGGTGGCGGGGCGCTGGGACCTGAGTCCGGCCTGGCCGCCCTCCGCACTCACCACGCTCCGCGCCGCTCCGCGCCAGCCGCAGGCTCAGGGCCAGGCCGAGCACCGTCCAGGGCAGCATCGTGCGCGACGGGACGGCCACGCTCTGCCTCCGCTCGTGGCCCGCTCGCTCCTGAGCTGCGGGGCGCGCGGCCGAGCGGGTCGGACCCGGGCCCCGCCCCCGGAGCCCGCCCCCGGGAGCCCCCGCCCACCGCGGCCCCGCCCCGAGGTCCCGCCCTGGCGCGCGCGCTACCCCGCGTGCGGAGGAGCACCGGCTCCGGGGAGGCGCGCGCACAAAGGGCCCAAACGTGCGGCGACACGCGGCCGTCACCGGGATGCCGCCGAGGCACACGCGGGTGGCATGCACACGCAGACACTGCGGTCTCCCTTTCCGGCTGTAAGGCCTTGGAGTCAGCCCTGTCCCCTACCCCCTGCCCCCAGCCCCCAGCCAGGAGCCGAGCAGGGAGCCACCAAGCTGGGTCATCCCTAGGCCCGCTGCCCTTGGCTCCGCAGTGTTGGGAGTCCCTGAAGCCAAGCCCAAGAGAGCCCCAGGGGGTATGAGAGTGTGTGGGTGACACCAAAAACAACGTCCCCCCAACAAGTCCCAGGCTCTGGCCACAGAGACTGGTGAGGGGCAGGTGTATGGGAGCTGTGACATGTTCCTCCAAGGAATGACCAACAGAGATTAGGAGGGTGGAACTTAGAAAGGAGACAGGGCGTCGGGAGAGGAAAGAAGCCTGAGACCTTCAAGGGGAGTTTCCGGGGGGACACCTCACCTGGCTTCTTAGAGGAAGAGGCATAGGAGCTGAGGATGGCTGGTTCAGGCCTGTCCAGTGTGATCATGCTGGGCATACCGCTGTCCCCATAGGCCCTGCCCAATGAAGGGCCCAGGGCTGAGGCCAAACTCCAGGACTGAGGACAGAACCCCCCAAGCAGCCCACTGGGGAAACCCTCCACTGTGACCAGGAGCCGCGCATCTGGGATCCTGGCTAGACCAGAGCAGAGGTGGTTGGCTGCAGGGGACATCCTGAGGGACACTCAGTGCCCCCAGGGCAGATTCCTTGCCCTTAGGTGAGATGGGGCAGTGTCCCGTGGGCAGTAGTGAGGTCCAGGAGAGCCCTGCCCCCCTCCCTCCTAAGATGCCTTCCTGTGGGGTCACCGCCGCCCCCTCCCACTCCTCTCTGTGCAGCTGGGTGGGGGGCAAAGGTCCCCCACGGGGAGGAGGCAGGGCCATCTCTGCCAGGATGTCCCCTCCCTTTCCCCCCTCCCCAGGAGGATGCCCAGCAGGGAGGACGGATGGGACTCAATGGTTTTCCTTCCTCCCTCTGGCAGGTGAGACGCCAGGCTGGGAGACAGACTGGAGCTCTGACTTTGCCTAAAAAAGGAAGCAGCTCAGCTAAGCCTGAGGAGCTGGGGCAGGAACAAGCAAGAACTGTGTCCCCGCCGTCCCACCCCCCACCCCCCCCGCCGGGAATCTTGGCAGTGCTGGGGCTGGCTCAGCTCCACAGACCTCAGGCCTCGGCTGGGACCAGAAACTGCCTGGTGCTTCCGCCTGGGCCCCGGGGGGGCAGCAATGAGCTCGAACCCCCAAAGTTCAGGGTGTACCGCCCAGAGGGACCGTGCCTGGCCCCCAGCCCTCCGGCACCCGAGGCTGAGCAGGGCTGCTGCGGAGGTGGGGCTGTGAGCGGAGGCAGCTGGAGGAGAGCCGGGGGCCCCGCGGGGAGCTGACGCAGGTGCAGACGGCCCACACGGCCTGGCTCCTGTTCTAGCTCGATGGGCGCCCACCAGCAGGGAGCGGGCAGCACCGGATCTGCCCTGTGGGTCCCCACTCCTGCCCAGCGGTGGGCCCACTGTCACACCTCGGCTGTGCTGCTGGGCTGACAGGGCCTTCTGGAAAAACTGAGCCACTCTTCTTGGCCATGACTCAAGCCCTCGAGGAAGCAGGCGTCCTCCTCCCTCCAGCCTCTCCATCAGAGGGAGAAGGGACGGGGGCCTGGCCTTGGGAGTGGTCAGCCAGGGCCTCTCCCTAGCCTTGGCCGAGCTCGGCCACCTGCCTTGGCCACCTGATGCTCGTGCTGAGCTCTGGCCTGACCCCCGCAAACTGAGACCACCCCACCCCCACCGGGTCAGCTCTGCCCCCCTCAGTCCCCTGATCTGCTCTGTGGCTCAGCCGGCCACACCACCCCCTGCTGCCAGCATCACGGTGAGTCTCCTCACCCCCCCCCCGAGGTGAGACATGGGCAGATGGAGGGTCCCCAGAGAACACAGGGGTCAGCCAGGGGTGTAGTGGTCAGGGCCAGGGCTGGGCTTGAGACAGACGCCAGAGGAAGCACAAATATAATGGCCGGGAAACATCCTTTCTGAAGCAAGACAGGCCTGGGGGCAGGGGGGCAGAGAAGGACGGAGGCGTCCTGGACACATCCGGCCCTGGCCCCAGCCCCCTCCCTCCCCCGGGACCAGCCCCTGCCTGGCCCTGTGTTCTGGGGACCAGGAGGAGGGAGCAGCCTGTGGCCTTGGCCCAGTCCGGGAGTCCCCAAGCATCACTTCCCAGAGCTGGCGCACCCTGCCTGTCGGTTCACAGGCAGGTGGACAGGGCTCCACAAAACCCAGGGACAACGTCTGCTCTCCAAGGCACCGCCCCTGCTCCCCGCCGGTCTGCAGGAACGCGCCCTCCTCCACACCGTCCAGGCCTCTGCAGAGAAGAAGGGCCTTTTGTCCCCAGCTCACTGTGGTCATGTTGACCCCTGGGAAAAGGGCAGCTCCCGGGGCCTCTGACCCCACCCCTGACCCCAGCTGAGAGTCCGAGAGGCAGAGTGGCTCGGCCCCGCCCCGCCCCGCAGAGATGCCTATGATGCTGGTTTTCGCGTCAGTTGTATCTTACACAGGCACCCACACACACACAGCTGGGAACACAGAAACCAGAAGTGGGGGTCGGCTGCTGTGGGCCTGGAGGGTAGCGTGGGCGAGCCCGAGGCCCCCTGACTGCACGCAACAGTCACAGGAGCAGAGGGAAGGGGTGGCCGAGAGCGGCAGGGCCCAGAGGCCCCGGCCGACACCCACCCACACATTCTTCTAGGCTCGACTTGCCTGTTTGGGGTCAGGGACGTGCCAGGGCCTGAGGGCCAGTCCTGGGGGTCTGGTGGTCCCATTGTCTCGTTCCCTAGGGGCCCCGGCCAGCCCCTTGCGGCCCCAGAGACGACCCCTGCCCAGTCCTTCAGCCAACAACACCCAGGGTGGCAGGGAAGACAGCTGATGGGGTGGGCAGCCTGGGTACGGGGGTGGTTGCATTCATCAGTTATCTGTGTGCTGGGCCCAGCCACACGACAGGCTCTGCACTGGGGACGTGCAGGCACTGGGCAGAGCCCCTGTCCTCCCAGCCCTGCCGGGCTAGAACGAGGATGGGCAGCGGCGAGTTTGCAAAGATGCATGTCTACTCATCTTCCCCTTGGAGGGTGGGGTCATGTCAGGCCAGGGGGTAGGAGCTAGAGGAAGTACCAGAGCCCTGGGGTGGGGGGCTGCCAGTGTATGTGAGGGCAGCAAGGATGCCTGGGAGGCATAAAGGGCAGGGGCAGGCTTCATGGGGGAGGCGAGGGCCTATGGGCAGGATGGGGACTGATGCCAGGCCTCGAAGAAGTAGAGGCCCAAGGGCACAGCTGGGAGGCAGAAAGGCAGGCAGGCAGCAGGTGCTCCTGGTTTTCAGCCTGTGCAGGGAACTGAACAGTGGTGCCCTTCCCGAGGGGGGACCCCTCCCTAGTTTGGGTTCCCTGTGCTGGAACCTTCTGTAACAGGGAGGTGACCCTCATACCCTGTCCTAGCCCCAAGCAGGGTTCAGGCAGGCTTACATAGGGAAAGAGAGAGCAGGGAGGGACAGAACTGTGTCAGCACCTTGGTTGGGGGGAGTCCCCGGGGTGGGCGTGGGACCATGGGGCAAGGGGAGGGGCCTCAGTCCCCAGAGTCAGCACAGGGCTGGCTCTGCCTGTTCCTCCCCAGGCCACCCAGCACAGCTCAGTTTCTGCCCAGCACCCCTTGCCTGGCCCACATGCCTGGGTGGGGCCGGGCTCACACCTGGGGTACAGACCATGGGGACAGAACGGGCCAGCTCTCCTAGCCCTGCCTAGCTGCTCACCACTCAGAGTGTGCCTGCAGACACCTGGGCTGCTAGGAAATGCTTTGTGAATCAATAAGTGGCCTTGGGCAGATCAGGGAACCCTGCGAAGCCCAGACTCTACACCTGTGGGGTCTGGACAGTGCCCCCCCAGGGGTGTGAGGGCCGGCAGACAGAGGCGATGCAGGCACGCCCTCACATGCACACACATGTACACCCACACACAATGCACACGCGTGCACACACGCACAGGCACGCGCGTGCACGTGCACCCCCATGGCCAGGCATGCTCTTTCGGGGCAGGGGCCTGGGTACTTGCAGAAAGAGAATTTTTTGCCCAAAGTGGAGGTCACCTCTGACCCACCCAGTAGCTCAGGGCCTCTACCCTCCACTTTACCGTCTTCCCTGATGGCTGGCCCCCTAAAGCAGACCCCTAGGCTCCTCTGTCAACCTTCCACAGCCTCCCACAGTGGGTGGGAAGAGCTGGAGCTAAAGCAGACCGTCCCTGGGGCCAGCTGGAGGCCACGCGGGGCTTGGGCAGGCCTGGGAAGCCGGGACACACCTTAGGAACCAGTAGCCTCAGCAGCTGAGCTCCCCATGGTGGTCTCCCCACCCCCACCAGGCCCAGCTGTTGTTTTGATGACTCCAGGGCCAGGCGGATCCTCAGGAGAGTCCTCTGACGCCTGGCCAGAGCCTGCCCAACCCTAGGCAGGAGGGGAAGGAAGGCGGCTTCGGACCGGGGAAGCTCTCCTCGGGCACGGGGCAGCCAGCCGGGCTCCCATCTGACCGGCCACAGACAATAGGAAAACCCCAAGGACTCCTGCTGGACCTGAATCAGCCCCACTTCGGGCCCTGTTCAAGCCACGAGTGAGCCCTGAGCGCTGATCCTTGGGCACATCTGGGCCCTGACCTCCTGGTCACAGGTGGAGCCCTGCTGGCCACATGGTGTGCTAGATCCTTTCCAAGGCCTTCCAGCTATTACTAGACTCTGGACGAATTACAACAAACATTTTTTTTTTTTTTTTTGCGGTACGTGGGCCTCTCACTGTTGTGGCCTCTCCCGTTGCGGAGCACAGGCTCTGGACGCGCAGGCTCGATGGCCATGGCTCAGGGGCCCAGCCGCTCCACGGCATGTGGGATCTTCCCGGACCGGGGCACGAACCCGCGTCCCCTGCATCGGCAGGCGGACTCTCAACCACTGCGCCACCAGGGAAGCCCACAACAGACACATTTTTAATACACTGCTGGGCTTACAAGGCAGTAGATATCTTCCAAGCCCCCTCCCCTCAGGAAACGCTAGAAAGAAGTGCATAAATAAACAGAAGAATAGGGAACAGAAACCCAGGATGATGAACGGAAACAAATGGGAAAGCAGAGAATCTCCTGAACACAGGGATGGAGCCACAGTGCATCAGGGCCACAGTGGGGGTGCCCTGCACAGCGGGGTACTAACCAGGACCCTAACGGGGGCCCAGGTTGGTCACGGCTCACAAGGGCATCCTCTGTGGAGGGACGTGGCCTCAGAATGTTCACAGGTGTGGGCTGATGCTTAACAAGTACAAACATTCAAAGAAACGATATGCTGTTACTGAGTCAGCAGAAGCAACAAATAACAGATTTAGGCCCCCAAAGGCAAAGGGAGTGCAGTTGTTAGGTACAGTCTGTAAAATAACTATGTGTGCGGCTTCCCTGGCGGTCCAGCGGTTAAGACTCCACGCTCCCAATGCAGGGGGTGAGGGTTTGATCCCTGGTTGGGGAGTTAAGATGTCGCATGCCGCAGGGCGCTGCCAAAAAATAAATAATTAAAAGAAAAAAAAAAGAAACAACTATGTGTGAAATGTTCCAGAAGTCGAAGCTGGAACCCAAATCACGAGCATATGCACCAAGAGATCATGAAAATCATCAGATTTGAATAAGAAGTGAGTAGTATAACTTTTAGATGGGGCGACATAATAATTTAAGCTAAATGGATGTGATAATCAGCAGATTAGACTCAGCTAGTGCTCAGTGAACTCAAAGAGGGAGATGAGGAAATTGCCCAGAACGCAGCACTGGGAGACAAGGAGATGGAAAACACAGAAGAGAGTTGAACTGACATGAGTGGTGAAAGCACAATGGGAAGCATTCACGTAATAGGTGTTTCCCAGGAAACAATGTGTAGAATGAATGAGACAGAATTGAAGAAATAATGGTTGAGAATTCTCCAGAACTGCCGAAAGATGTGAATCTGTAGAAACGGGACACACCGTGTGTACCAAGGGGATAAATAAGAACATAGCCACAACCACAAACATGCTTAAAAGCACAGAAAGCAAAAGACGGAAAAGATCTTAAAATTATCCAGAGAGAACAGACAGAGCCCTCACTCTAAACGCTGACCGCGGTCTCGGGCTGAGCCCTGCATGCCCTAGTGCTCTGGCCGCTGAAGTTCTGGAACCGTGGAGCGTGGAAGTCTCCCCACCTCTGGGACTCGCTGGAGGCCGCTGCCGGACCAGACAGGGGGCCCGCAGGGACTGCCCGTTGTCGGGGCACAGGAGCCCAGGACAGCCACAGTGGCAGAAGCCAGGAAGGCCGCCTCTCTCCGAGCCTGGCCACGCGCCCCTTCTCCGAGAGCCATCTCCCTGTTCTCTGGGGGCGTCCCAGCCCTTCGGCGGCTGCGGGGACTGCGGAAGCCGGTAACGGTGGGGAAGGGCCGTCCCGGTCCGGGGGAGTCCGGTGCCACCTCGCGGCCCCTCGGAGCACTGCGCACGGGGCCGCGCGGCACGCACTGGATTTCCCGGCCGGGACCTGGACGCAGACCCTGAGCTCACCAGCCTGGAGCCACCGATGGGGGACACGGGGGGAGTTCGGGGGCCTCCGGGATTTGGAGAGGCCTCTGGGGTCACACCCAGGCTTAGAGCTGCTCCTCCCCGTCGGGGTGGCGGCAGGGTCCGGGACTCCAGGTCGGGGGTGGCAGCAGCGAGCGGAAGCGTCGGGCCAGGCGGGAGCGGGCGGCCGAGGCGAGCACCAGCAGCGGAGGCAGCGAGAGGAATCCCGACACGATGAGCGCCGCAGAGCCGCGGTCGGACAGCAGCGCGCGGCACGCAGGGCGGGGCGCCGGGTGGACCTGAGGGCGGGGCGGACGGTCAGGCGGGGCGGTGGGGCCTCAGTTCCGAGACGGGGCCTGGCAGCAGGTGGACGGGGCGGGAGCTAATCCCGGCTTCGGCTGTGAGTTGGCCGGGGGCGGGGCGGAGCCGGTGCAGGTGGACCGGGGCGGGGCCTGGTTACAAAAGGACCGGGAGAGGGCGGGGCCTCAATTCCGGGGCGGGGCCTGGGGGGGCAGAGGGATTGGGGCGGGGCCTGAGAGCAGGGGGACCGGGGCGGGGCCGGGAGAGGAGAGAGCGGGGCCTGAGGTCTGGCAGAGCCGGCATCGGGGGTGGGGGGGGGCTGGGGCTGGCTGTGAGGCAGGCATTTCTCAGCCGAGGATGGGAGATGGAGACCCAGGCGGTAAATGGCCCGAGTAGGAGCCCCTTGAGGGGAGGCTCAGAGAATAGCTCTCTCTGCTCTCCCATGGCCCTTTCCTAAGTTGGCATCTGACCCCGAGGCCCTACCCTGGGGTGTTGCCAGCTGGTGCCACCTTGTCTACTGCGGCCCAGCGTTCGGCCCCCTTCCCCCGGCCCCCGCTTCCCCAGATGGGCAGAAAGGGGCCCATCTGCCTATACCCTCCCTATCCCAGACCAAGCCATAACCCCTTCCATACGTGGGGAAACCCATCCCAGGGGAGGAGGGGTCTTCAGGGGGGCTGTGTGTTGGGGGAGGCTGGGAGGATGGGGACTGTGGACTGGTTAAATCTGACAATATCTTTATCTTCTCTTCCTGGAACCCTTCTCCTCTTCCCACCCTGCCCAGCTGTCCAGGCCCTGGCAGCTCCTGGTACAAGGCTGAGAGGCCTCAGGGGAGGGGAGAGAGCCTTCCCCTTGGGTGGCAAACAAAAGCCCTTCTTTTGCTGTGGCCAGTGGGGGGGGGGGCTTGGCAGGAGAAGGAGCTCTTCAGGGAGGGGCACACGTGCCTCCAGGGACCTGCACTCCCCGAGGACCCCAGACAGTCCCTCAGCCCCGCGCCCGTGGACGGCTCAGCTCACCCTCGAGTGGCACAGGAATCCCAGGTACACAGTGGTGGCTGCGGGCAGCAGCAGCAGCAGGAACACGGCTGCGGGCAGCAGCAGATGGAGCACGAGCCCAGCCAGGGCCCGACCCAGCAGCAGCAGGACCCCCAGGCCTTGGGCAGCCAGGCCTGCCCACCCTGGGGACATCAGGTCTGAGGCCTGGCGGTCAGGAAGCCTTCGAGGCAGCATGGGTGCTGTGTCTGAAGCACCTCCTCCCTCATCCTCCTCTGTCTCCCTCTCCTGCTCACTCATGCTCTCTTGGCAGTGGGCCTGGTGGGCTCACAGTGGTGGTCACGTGGCAGGACTGATGCCCATCCTCCGCCCCCCGGCCAGGTCAGATTAGCAACCTTTTAACCCTAGGTTGCCAGGTCAGACCTCCACCCAGACCCCAGCAACCAGATAGTGGACTCAGCTGGAGGGCAGGGCCCTGGTCCAGGTAGGTCCAGCCCTGACCATCAGTCTCCAGGGTCACACCTGAGCCTCAGGTCCTCGCTGCCAGGCTGACCCTCTCTCTGCCAGGTTACTACAGCTCCAGCCCTGCCCAGTCTCCCCCGCCAGCCCCTGTGTGCTCTGGTCGGAGCCTGCACAGCTGTCCTGAGAGCTCAGCACTGGGCCGTCCTCGCCCCAGGTCCCGCCCTCTCCCCACTTCCAGAGCCTGCACACAATGGTTTCATTTCATCAGTCTCAACTCTGGCAACTGCCCCATCCGTAGCTGCCACGGGAAGGTCAACATCTGACCTCGCCCCCTCTGGTTCCCTCATCCCCAAACCTGGCCCCTGTCAGCATCAGAACAACCCCAGAAGATGCTGGGTGCCCACACTGCAGGGCTGTTGAGAGGGCACATGGGTAACGTATGTGAAATGCTTAATGTGGAACTCAGCACACAGTAGGTGCTCGATAATGGCAGCTACCATTACAGGTATCCTTTGTGTCAGAATCCAATCCATCCTGAAAACAGGGGGAGCGTGTATTCTGTGATTTCAAGTAAGCGGGGAGGAAGCATTCCCAGCCCCTCCGAAAACCCCAACTAATTTCTCCACATATTACCGAAATACTCTTAGCACCTAACAGCCTCCCGGGGTTTCCGTGCACGACATACAGTGTTTTAAACACCACTTACAGGGACTCCCCTGGTGGCCCAGTGGGTAAAGCCTCTGTGCTCCCAATGCAGGGGGCCTGGTTTTGATCCCTGGTCGGGGAACTAGCTCCTGCATGCATGCCACAGCTAAGAGTTCCCACGCTGCAACTAAGAAGCCTGCATGCCTCAACTAAAGATCCCACATGCTGCAACTGAGAACCGGCGCAGCCAAAAGAAGTCAATACATAAAATTATTTGAAAAATAATAACAAATAAATCAACACCCCTGACATGACTAGCTGGCACTTAAACCACTGAGTAGGTCGTCTGGGGGCTGGATGCAGGAGGCCGGGTGGCACCAGATGTGAATGTTTCTCTTTCCCTCCCCCTACAGTCCGCCTCATCCCTTCCAACTTTTCTTCTAATGTTTTCCAGGCCTCTCAAGCTCACCAGCACCCCTCAGACATGTAGGGATGCGGGACGATGACAGCGACATGCACAGCTTGTTCAAGGGACGCGGTTGGAGACACGCCGGCCGGGACGGCTGCTGAGGCCCCCTGCAATGCACGCCAAGCCCTGCTGCCCAGCACGTGTGCATGCACTGGCACACGCATGTGAAGATTTCACGGTAGCTGTTTATCTATTCTGATAGTGAAGTTGGGGTAAAGAAGAGAGTTCAGACAGCAAGTGTAGTGGGCTCATCTCCTTTCTAAGCCCCACCCTCTCCCCCAGGTCCTCCGCTCATTCATTCACTCACTCGACAAGCACTCCGTTGAGCTCCCGCTGTGCGCCAGGCACGATGGATGCCTGTGGATTCAAAGCGGAGGGAGGCCAACAGAGTCCTCTGCCTGTAGCGGGACAGCTCTTTGCAGGTCACTGAGCAAGCTGCAGTGCCCAGGCCATGGCAGAAGCGGGGGGACAGGCCCCACGGCCCACTCTCGCTGCCTTCTGCCTGTGGGGAGGCCACCAGGAGGCAGTTTCTAGCTTCCGTGCCTCTGAGGTACAGGATGGTGCACGGGGCCCCCAGGGTGCGGCTGCAGCACAGAGGCTGCTCCTCAGCAACGGGGTGCCCCTCCCACCCCGTGTCCTCGTGCCCCTGTCATCTGGCCCTGCTCCTTTCAGCGTCTTCCTGGGTCATCCTGTGGGGACAGAGTGCAGAGGGCTGACACCCTTGCTTTCCTGGCCTTTGCCGGCTGCTTAACCAGTAGACTGTCTGCATCCACCCAGAACACCTTGCTCCTTACGGGACGAATCTGCCAGCCTGTGCGACGTGCTCTCACGAAGCTCTCATTCTAGAGGAGGAGTGACCGTGGCGTATGGGGTGGGACCCGTGTGGCTGGGGAGTGGGACGGGGCCTCTCAGCTCCTTGCCTGGAGACCCGCCCTTTGGATCCGGCACCTGGAAGGGCTGCCTCTCTGGAGGGCAGGGCCCTGAGGACACCTTGTCCGTCTCCGGAAGCTGGGGAGGGGCTGGGGTGGGAGCCACCACCCCAAAGCCGTGCTGCCTCTTGGTGAGCCGTCATGAGAGGCGCTGGAGGGACAAGGCTGCAGAGGCCGCCCCACGTCCTTCTCCTGTCTGGGCTCTGGACGGGTGGCCTCACCCAGGGATTGGGGGATGGGAAGGCACCTTCAGGGCCTGCCACCCACCCCGGCCCACCCTGCCCCAGGGCCCCAGAGCCACGGTGACCAACCTGGAGGCCTTACTGAGGGCTTCCTGCAGCACCACATCCACCGTCCAGATGTAGCCCATCTCCGATCAGTCCTCCCTCTGCCTGGCTCCCTCCTTCAACTGCCTGGGGCTCTGCCCCTTCACAGCCCCTGGAGACCTGCCTCAGTCTCCTCTCAGGGGGCTTCCTATCCCACCCCTTGGTCCAGGTTGCCTGCCTGGTGTCCCTGGAGAATCTTCTGTCCTCATGCGGCATCTGGGTGGGGGGAAGGGTCCCACCTCACCCTGCCCACCACCCCAGCCTGGTCTTAGCCAGCAGGGACAGGAGTGGGGCTGGCGGGCAGGGCTTGAGCGGGGGACCCGGGGGAAGGTGTGTGGGTGTCTCCTGGGGACGAGTCGTGGCGCATCAAAGGCTCTGCTCCTCGAGGAGCTGTGGTCCACGGGCAAGTTCCTGCCTGCCTGGTCTTTGTCTCCCGGGAGGGAGGACAAGCCAGAGGCTCTGGCAGTTGGCAGGGGCTGGCGGCTGCTGGGACAGGGGCTGTGGCCCGCAGGCAGGGCCTCCCCCTTAAGTTGCTGGGTAAACAGGTGGAGAACTGGCCCTTAGCCCGGCCCCCAGGAGGCCCCACCGCCAGCGCACAACTGCAGCTCCAGCCTTCCACCTTCTGGGAGCAGATACCCCACCGCTGTGCCTTCAGGGGGAGTTTCATGAAAGGGCCACCAGGCTGTGGCTGGGCCGGGACGGCATGTAGAGGACCCCCAGACGGAGGACAGAGCCCCTGGGTGGGCTCGCTTTGGGGGTAGCTGAGAGCCAAGGCCGTCAGAAGGCTAAGTGGTAGCCAAGTTCCCCTAGGGAGATAAGGGGTTCATGTCGGCCTGGGGACAGTGGGCTGGGTCTGGCCTGGGCCTCCAGCATCCATGCTGGATTCCTGTTCTTTCCAGATGGACTCTAGGGTCTCTGAGCCCCGGGAGCAGGACCTGACAGAGGCAGGGGCAGAGCAGGAACTGCGGTGGTTGGAGCTGGGCTCCGAGGAGGCCCCAGGAGCTGGGACAGAGGGGCCCAGCGCCCCACAGGCCTGGGGGCGCCTGCTGCAGGCCGTGTGGAAGGGTCATGTGGGCCTGGTGACTCAGCTACTGCGGCAAGGGGCCAGTGTGGAGGAGAGGTGAGCCCAGGGGTAGGACCGGGTACTCCACGGGGGTGGGGGTAGGGATGGTGGCTGGTGTCCCTTCAGTGGGAGATGGAGGCATTGGTCCCTTGCGGGGTGGAGAGGGTTCCCTCCTGGGCAAAGGTAGCAGGTCTCTTCCCCGTGCCCCGCCCTCGCCCGTGCCGCCCTCCCCGCCCCGCAGGGACCGCGCGGGCAGGACCCCGCTGCATCTGGCCGTGCTGCGCGGCCACGTGCTGCTGGTGCGTCTCCTGCTGCAGCGCGGGGCCCGGGCCATAGCTGCAGACCGCGCGGGGCGCACGCCGCTGCACGAGGCCGCCTGGCACGGGCCCTCGCGGGCGGCCGAGCTGCTCCTACAGCGCGGGGCGTCAGCGAACGTGCGCTGTGGGGCCGGCCTCACGCCACTGCACTGGGCCGCCGCGCTGGGCCGCACGTTGCTGGCCAGGCGCCTGCTGGACGCACCGGGCCCGGGCCCTGCGGCGGTGGACGCACACGGCTGGATGGCGACGCACTGGGCGGCCGCGGGCGGCCGGCTGCCGGTGCTCGAGCTGCTGGCGGCGGGCGGTGGCGCGGGCCTGGACGGCGCCCTGCTCGTGGCGGCCGTGGCCGGGCAGTCGGCAGCGCTGCGCCTCCTCCTGACGCACGGGGCGTGGGTGGACGCCCGGGACGGCACGGGGGCCACAGCGCTGGGTGTCGCTGCCGACCTGGGCCGCCAGCAGGTACGTCTCGGCCTGGGCCCCGCGTGATCGTGCGGGTGGTGGGGAGGGGCCAGGCACCAGGGCCCTGAGTGCCGCCCTGACGTCACTCCCCTTGGTAACCAGCTCTTGGAAGCCCAGGGAGGGCACTGGGCTGGCAGCACCAAATATTTATTGGGCACTGGCCATGGGCCTGAGTCCAGCCAGGCCCCGGGCGGTGCAGAGGGGCCACAGGCGGCTCAGGACCATTAGGGGGCAAGTGGGGTCTCCAAGTAGAGACCCAGCAGGTGCCATAGGCGGCACCAGATAAGGAAGCAGTGTGGAGAAAGGGGGCGCTGAGGGCAGCTGAGCACTGTGTGGCCCGCCCAGGCCAGCCCTGCCCCTGCCCCCTTCTCTTCTAGGACATGGAGGTGCTACTTGAGCACGGGGCCGACTCAAGCCTCAAGGACAGGCACGGCCGCTCTGCACTCCACAGGGCTGCTGCCGGTGGACATCTGCTCGCCGTCCAATTGCTGGCCGCCTGGGGAGCAGACGTGGACGCTCGGGACACGTTGGGCCTCACCCCCCTGCACCACGCTGCCCGGGGAGGCCACATGGAGGTCGCCGGCCACCTCCTGGCCAGGGGCGCGAAGGTCGACGCTGCTGGCTGGCTCCACGTGACCCCCCTGCATCTTGCCGTGGAGCGCGGCCATGGCTCCACCGCAGAGCTTTTGCTGAGCCGGGGGTCCAGCCCCACCCAGAGGACACAGTGGGGGGAGGTGGCCCAGGATCTGGGGCCTGCCGTCTGTGGAGAGCAGGAGGTGCCCCATGGGCCCCAGGGCTGCAGGGCCAGAGCAGGACCAGAGGCTGCAAGCTCCCACGGCCTTCAGGGCGTGCAGGCTCCTCTCTGCTGGTCTGAGGCCGCCTGCCAGGGTGCACGGGAGAACACCCCAGAGGTTCCTGGAGAAGAAGGAAGCAGTGGCTGGAGCCCGAGCAAGAAGCGTGTGGCTGACCTGGAACTATTCCAGACTCCCAGGGCCACGTCAGCCCTGTAGCTTCAGCCCTGTGCACGCTCTTTGGCGGAGAGGCTGAGTCGTGGCCACAGAACTGACCAAAACCCGATGGGCTCCTGTTTGTGCGTCCCCCACCGGGGTGTCAGCCTCGGTGCTCCCCCTGGGCACACCGGCACTCTTACTGTGTTTCCTTAGATTCGGTATTTGTCTCTTGGCACCCACTCACTAATGACAGGGCCAGTTGTCCTCCTCTCCCCTGTTGTCCCGACCCATGCCCTGAACGGCTGCCTTCTCTCACATGCCCAGCTGACATCCCCCTGCCCGAAGTCACCCAGGGCCAGGCCTGCCTCTGTGCACCAAGGCCCACTGGATTATCAAACAAACCAATCAGAAGCTGTTTCCCTGCGCTGCCCTGCCTTTCCTGCGGGAACCCCAATAAAGGCCTGAGCCTCCCCCGGGCCCCTGCTCTTACCACCCGATCGACACTGCTGTTTCTGCCTGTGTCCCTGTGGGGCGTGGTGTGCCCTCCCCTCAGGACATGTAAGGCATAAAAATCTGCTTTCAGGAGCTTCCCTCGTGGTGCAGTGGTTAGGAATCCACCTGCCAATGCAGGGGACACAGCTTTGAGCCCTGGTGTGGGAAGATCCCACATGACGTGGAGCAACTAAGCTCGTGCGCCACAACTACTGAGGCTGCGCTCTAGAGCCTGCAAGCCACAACTACTGAAGCCCATGCGCCACAACTACTGAACCCACACGCCTAGAGCCCGTGCTCCGCAACAAGAGAAGCCACCGCAATGAGAGGCCCGTGCACCACAACGAAGAGCAGGCCCCACTCGCCACAACTAGAGAGAGCCCCTGTGCGCGGCAACGAGGACCCAACGCAGCCAAAAAAAAAAAAAAAAAAAACCTGCTTTCAGTAGCTTTAGCCTCTCCCTGTCATCACTCAGCCATCTCTGTAAATTAAAAACCCTGCAGTGCGACAGATACAGAGTGACAGTTGTCTCTGATTGTCCACACCTGCATCCTCATAGAAAATCAATGTCCTTAGATTTTTCTGGAAGAACAACTTTAGAGGACAGATTTCATCTTTTGAAAGTGAGAGCCGTCTTGCTAAATTAGTGACTCTGTCCGGGGACCCTGGGAGCACTTGGATTTTACCCCCGAGACAACGGAAGCCTTTGGGGAGCGTGAGCTCACGTGACATGGTCTTTCTGGCTCACGGGGCCTGCAAGTGCAGGATGAACTGTAACTGGGAGGAGGAAACCCGGGAGACCAGTGAGACGGTGACGGCATAGCAGTGGGGGCAGGAGAAACAGGCAGAATTGGGACAGTTCTGTGGGCACAGCCCTCTGGACCTGCTGATGGTTGGATGTGGGGAGGGGCAGGGAAAGGGAGACATAACAATGACTCCTGGCGGGGCCTGGGCCCGAGGTGGAGGGGTGGGTGGGAGAGCAGATGCACAGGAGACGAGAATGGGGCAAAGATGAGGCCTGGAGTGACATCTCTGGAGTCCTCAGAGTAAGGGTGGGTTTTCTTTGTTTTGTTTTTGGTTTTTTGGGGGCGCGCCGAGTGGCCTGTGGGACCTGCGGGATCTTAGTTCCCCAACCAGGGATCAAACCCGAGTCCTCTGCAGTGGAAGCGTGGAGTCTGAACCACTGGACCACCAGGGAAGTCCCGGGGTGGTTTTTAAAGCTGCAGGATGGACCTCCAGCCAGCCTCCAGCACAGCCTGCGGGCTCGACCTCAGAGCACACCCACAGCCCGACTGCCTCTCACCTCCCCCGCTGCATCCACCATGTCCAGGCCACCGTCAGCCTTGCCTGGAATGCCGCCGTAACCAGGCCAGCCCCCAGCCTAACGGTTCTTCTCGCCTGATCCCTTGACTCCCAAGGGGCTGTTCTCAGAATAGTAGCCATAATCCTATCCACTGTCCTGCGCAATCCCCCAGTGGCTCCCTTTCACAGAGTGTAGACCAAATGTGGTGTACGGTGTTGTTCGCAGATGCCTCAGCGACCTGGCCCGTCGCATGTGCTTCTACCTCAACATCTGCTGACAGGGGAGCCTGTGATGACTCCCAAAGTATTTCACTACAAACTATGTATTAGTTCAAACGTAAATGCGGTGGAGAAACCTGGCAAACAATACTGTAACCAAATGGTCAAAGCTGACATCACCCGTGTTGGGACAAGCTGCCATCATGGCCTCCTGGTGCCATGCACCGAGAAGGACACAATATAATTTCTGAAGTATTCTGCTACAAATGTGTAACCTGATTCTAATCACGAGGAAACATCAAACTCAAATTGAGAGGCACTCTACAAAGTAAGTAGCCTGTACTCTTTAAGAATGCCAAGGTCAAGAAAGACAAAGAAGGGCTGAGGGACTGTTCCAGATTAACCCTGAAAGTTAGACATAAGAACTCCACGCAGTGCATTATCCTGGACAGGGAAAAAAGCGGTAAGAATATGTGACAGAACTGGAATGCAGACTGTGGACCTGACAGCAGTATTGCATTAATGTTGAATTTCCTGATTTTGATCCTTGCGCTGGGATTTGTAAGAGAATGTCCTTGTTCTTAGGAAATACACAGTGAAGTATTTAGCTATCTCCAACTTCCCTTCAAACGGACCAGAAGAATACCCCAATAATGTGCTTATAAACATTTACGGAGGGCTTCCTTGGTGGCACAGTGGTTAAGAATACGCCTGCCAATGCAGGGGACAAGGGGTCGAGCCCTGGTCCGGGAAGATCCCACATGCTGTGGAGCAACTAAGCACGTGCGCCACAACTACTGAGCCTGCGGTCTAGAGCCCGCGAGCCACAGCTACTGAAGCCCGTGAGCCACAACTACTGAAGCCCGCGCGCCTAGAGTCCGTGCTCCACAACAAGAAAAACCACCTCAACGAGAAGCCCACGCACCGCAACAAAGACCCAGTGCAGCCTAAATAAATAAATAACTTCATTTAAAAAATAAAGTGCACAGCTCCGCGGCGTAAGAGGACCAGGCCCCTCGGTGGGAGGCAGCGCTTCTCCACTCCACCGGACGCCACCCTCGGCTGTCCGCCCTCCAGCTGCCTGGGCGGGGGGGGGGGGGGGGGGGGGGGGGGGGGGGGGGGGGGG